TATAGCGTAAAGCCTCTGAATTACAAATTTTTCTTACACTTTGTTTCTAAGATTATACGGATATTTCAATCAAATCTTTTGCATGTGCTAGAGGTGTAATCTGTAGCAGTCATAAATAATCAGACTACAGCTTCGATTTATTTTCAAACCATGTTTATTGCATACATCACTTTTAATAATAAGTTTCCGTCAAGGGGCTTTGGTAAATGTAAACTCATTGAAATCACTCAAGAAAAAAAGAAAATTTTAAATCATGGTGGGGGGTTCGTTCAGGCTAGAAAATTAGATAGTACCTAATGTTTGCTCAGATTTCAAAAAAAACGCACGACGATCGTTCGACATGGCGAAATTATTGTTTTGCTTTAAGAAAGAACTGGCTCTCGTCCGATACCAAGAGTAGAGGGTAGCGCATATCTATTACAACAAACTAATAACAAACTAAGGTTTTCCTTAATTTGAACGCATCACCCTGTAAATATACCATCATTGGTGAATAAAATGAGGGGACCCATAAAATTTACACATAGCTGTGTTTGATTAAATATAGCTCCGCGCCCGAACTAAATACCTGCATGCGGTCCTTTTTATGTAAAAGTTGCCTTCCTCTGCTTTTAATGTAGCACTGTTGCTAGAAAAGTATTTTCAAACTGTTTTGGAGAGGAAGCCACTTAGTAGAACGGTCAGTGAAGTGGCTATTCACCGCACTCTGCATGAACACTTAAGCCATTACGCATAATCCAGATATTTGATGTTGTCTTCTTCTGGGGAATAAGTGATTCGAGATGCGATACAGCCGTTACTTTTGTCTAATTAATGACAATATTATAAGCACAGACTATTTTGATTCAAATCTGTGACTAAGCATGAACTCACATTTGAATTATAAGAAGAGCTCGCACAAAAGCAGCGGACTTTAATGCTAAGACCCTTACAAGAAAATCTGCTGCGAAGAGAAATCGCTTAACGGGTCGGGATGACGAAGAAGTTAATAATATAACCTAGGAAATGATGGATAAGGTGGCTTTGTCATCAAACAAAAACAAAAAGCGAAAGCAGTGCACAACGCAGTAAGAGGACCGGATCATTCTAATTGCGCTATAAAAAAAAACCGATCTGCAATGATTTTTCAACTGTGTTAAGTGGTAGCAAACTTTGGAGTCACTGTGTCTATCAACATTGTATCGAAATAAGTGGGTTATCGTAAACCAGTCAAAAAAACTCTGCGAAACATCCCAAAGAAATGTGCAAGTTTCGGTAGGCTGAACAATTCCAAAGCTGAGCAGTTAAAGACTGCGGCAGGATCTGTCGTATTTTGTGTATTAATGCGAAACACGTTTACAGGCATTCGGGCGAAGTATTCCATGAGTATTGTACAAGTCAGCAGGCCAATCATTGAAACAAAATATTGGTGTGGGCCTAGATTTGCATACACGGTGCAGCGGCCTGACACTTCGTTAGCAGAACTCTGGAAACCCGAGAATACAATGCAGTAATTCAGACGAAAATATTGTTGCAGATACAAGAATGGTCCCCGCATGAGAATTGTGTTTAAACGTGAACTCACTCTGAGGTTTTTACCGCTAGTAATGTTGAGGCTTTGCCATGGCCTGGAATTTTACCCGACTTGAATTTGGTCGAAAACTTGTAATACTATGTCGACGGGTAAGTCAGGGTAAGAGATTACGAATATCTCACAGCTCAAGAACACAGCGCTCCGAACATGAGCCCGGGTCTCGGGTGTAATGGAAACGGCGAAGAAGTGCGTTCGGAGTATGTTGCACCTAGCTACAGCAGAGATAACGCCGAAGAGTGTGCGAACCAAATACTAATTTTAATAACTGTCTTCAAAAATGGCTCAAAAATGGTTATCTAGGTATATGGTCGTCACACGTACTATAATTAGAAAGTAGAAGATAGCTTTCACATAAAAAAAAACTGCGCACAGATAACTCAATCTTCATCCAACTTGACAACGTGTAAAATCTGGCTGTTTATCGCATCCTCAAAGAAGTATTGACCGTTTTCTTAACTAGTTTTAATAATCAGTGTTGGTGTCATTTCAAAGCTCAGATTCGACAGTACTTGACGTGCAAAAATTGTTGGTTTGTCTTTAATCAGTATGCAATATTGAAATGTTTGTAGAAACTCGCCATATTTCACAATTTTATCACGATAGAAAGACAAATGCTGTCAAGGCCTCTTATATAAGAAAATCTTCAATATAATGAATTTCGCAGACGTTTCATTTATCTTTAACGCACTTTAAGACTTTCCGAATATATATGCCGATTCAAGACGTTAGGTTGTTCAGAATGTTATGATGGTTTTTCGCCTAGAAGAAATGCGAGGCTTTACTGTAGTGCCAGCAAAATAACATGTAATTCATGTAATAAATATTCAAGTCCGATGATGAAAACATCTTTCAGTAAGTTTCTGAAACTCCCTTCGCTGTCAAACGTACGGTTACGAATGTCACTCGCCAGCAATCGGAAAAGGCTGCAATCCATGAGCACGAATTCTAGAAACCTAGTTGATGCAAAAGAATCTGGTAGTCAGGCTCTTGTAAGCCAGCTTTCACAGTGGTGGCCCACAGTGGTGGTTCACAATGTGGTCCGGCACTGTAACGAATAAAAAAAATTGCGTTGTCTATCGGGTCTTCTCTCTTAAATACCTCAGTAGACTCGATGCAGTATGATGAATCTTTATCGATCGTTTTGTTAATAAGTGCTTGTCATTCGCAAGCATTTCTTGGTCGACTTTTCTGTTTCACGAGAAAAAACAATGGTGCTTTTTGAACGCGGATCTGATATAATTCTTGGCCATATATCTCTGAAAATCACCAGTTCCCTTCTCTGCTTCATTGAAACAGAGACACCTCCTTTCGACCAGTGCTTGTAAACTCTTGTAGTCGTTCTTCAAAGCCTTATTTAGCGAAGGAAACCTAGATATGCCAAGATCAATAAAAATTATAAAATTTTTACTTGAGAAATAATTTCGGGCCCAACTAATATATGTCCAAGCAGAAAATAAAATGCATAAAATGTAAGACGACATATTCGAGAGAATGTAATTTTATTTATTTAGATTATGAAAACTATAAAAATAAAAACTGTTGATCCATAAGCAAACAGCTTTAGCTCTTTGACTACAAAAATAAGATATGGGTGTTAGGACAGTTATAACTACAAAGTACGAAGGACGTACTTCTTATAAAAGCTTTGATTTTACAATAAAGTATAGCGAAAAACGAAAGCCAAAGTGTAATTCGGAAGACTGTTTTATGATAAATCAAATCAATTCCAAAACGTTTCAAAGAAACTAAAAATTTGATGGTTTTTATTAATTTCGAAAGATCCCTTAGCTGGACAATTTTGTAGAAAGTGTCTGGTGTGGCACATTAAGAAGACAAGTTTAATTATGAAATATAAATTACAGAGCTAATAAAAACGACATCTTCGGTTTTAGATCAATAACTATTATAAGGTAGCTTTATCACATTTTAGCTGCGTTATAGGTTTAATATAAAAAAAATAGCAATACCAAAGTTTTTTGGTGCATTTTGTGAGCCCTGCATTAGCACACGAACATGAAGCTTGTAAAACTAATGACATAATAGTATTGAGTCGCTTGCGATATCAGTGTTTTATGCAGTATTGCATTTACGATACTTGCACCTATCTAATCACCCTCCAAAGGCATACGTAAATTAAGCTTTTGATACGGCATTTTTAAGACGGTGACCATAATAATTGTTTCTACAGTATTATGTATTTGAAAAATGTATAAATCTTAAGAAATAGATTTTAAGAAAACTTAGAAATGTATCAAAACGAGTGGCTAGGTGAGCTATCGTTATATCTATTTTTAGTACAGTATATTATAATACAGCGCGTTTAGCATGTAATACTTTAGGCCCCTCAGCATATGTAAATTTAAAGGATTGCGAGTTCTTGGATTTATCATTATTTATTCATTCCATTGACTATAATGGCACCAATAACGTCGGAAAGTGATACCAATTTACTGTCGCAGGTGAATTACTTTGGCAAAGAAATATTGTTAAGACGTTTACAGCGGAAGCAGTGACTGGAGGCCAGCTCTTGCTGACAAGGCGAGCATTATTTGGGCGATAACTTGGTATGTCCAACTTCGATCATCTGAACTTAGTTCTCGCAAAAAAGGAAACAGTGCGGGTTCGTTGTCCTGAAGAGGCAAAATTTTGGCCTAAAATATATCGAGCCTGTCCTTAAACTCACTATTATCGCCTACTTTAAGGTTTAAAAACAATCAACAGCATACGGGCTTAAATTGGAAAATATGGGTGCAGAAGCAACCGCTCGATTCTCTTTTCCTGATTGAGGTTGCGATTAAAGCATGCTGAGAAGGTAATGCTTTCTTGTTAAGCGATTACACAACGTGCTATTGATTGCTGTACCTTCATATTTACGAGGCTGTTTAAGAATTTAAAATATATGAAAGTATTGATGGAATCTACTTCGAGCAATGATTGGGAATAAAAAAATGCCCCTGATGTCCTTTGAAAGCAGAGCATCAACTTCTGCCGAATATACTCGGCACTGCCACCGAAATCACCCTCTTTTCTGGATGCTGCCATTTTGTAGTTCATTTTTTTGTGGTGAACGGCATACCTGGAACCCAAGGCACACCTAGGTTCAGTTATTAAGGAAATTAGATCTTTTTTTTTATTTACCTTCAATTTTTTATTAAAATCTAGTTGACAAAAACACGGTGCTTATATTCCTCTTATTTTCCTCAAAACTGAATTTCTTTACCGAGAGCGAGGCGGTTTTCACAAATATCTATAACATTACCGAAATGTATCACCATCATATCTTATATGAATATTAACAGCTCGTGATTGCGGTTTCAGGGTTGCTGCTTTCCAGAAAAAGACAGTATACTAGCGAAGCCTCTGGTTCAGATTTCTTATACAATGTGCATAACAGAGATCTTTATATATGCTTTTTCAGAACAATTTAAATATATTCTTGTCAAAAAAGCCGACGTCCATCAACTGCTGGCAAGTTCTTGCAGCCAACTAGGAAAGGCAGATGGCTTGCAAGCCCATTTACAACACTTTAAGAGATTTGATCTCATATTCGTTGACTTTCTCTTGCAAGTTATATAATTTTAAACTCCAGATCCCTACCTGTTCTTATAGTTTCCAGAGATGCACCATTATATAATACGGAACTGAGTGTGTGATAGAGAGTTTGAAATAATATTCCAATCAATTTCGAACCGATGTCCAAAAACGAGATTTAGGGTTCAGCGGGTGAGAGTGTCATAGAAGTAGAATCTGGTCTGCATAAATCTTCAATCTTTTCAAAGAGAAAAGATAATACGCTAGTTTTACAATTGATATACATATGGTCAATTTTCATCATGATGTCCTTCCATATTAACTGGCGTCAATAAGGTTCAGCCATTAGGCAGGTTCCATATAAATTGGATTGCTAAGGTTGTACAAGTACGCCTATAAACAACACGTGGATATGGTTTCAGAAGCGCTGTCTGCCATAACGAGACTATGTGCCAATAAGGCCTTCAGTTTAGACTTGATCTCTAATTAACACATCATGGCCTAATTTCTAGCAGATTGTTGAACCGCCTTCTTTTATGCTTAGTAGGGAAGGATCGCATGTCTAATGGTTAAATTGTGTGCATCATTAAAGGTATTACTCATCGTGATTCCCAAAGGGAACGGCGGTCGGAGGGACCCTGAATCTGGCGCAATATTCTAAAAAAAAAAAAAAAGGTTAGCGCTATGAACTTTTCGCCTTGTTTTTAATCGACAGTTTTTCTGAATTCTGAGAAAATCGTAACGTTATTCCGGAGAAGGAACACAGTCTTTGCTATCAGAGCTTGACTCTTTTTCCTTGCTCCACACTGCTGAAACATGCTCGACCCATTCCAGAAACGGGGAATACACTTCCTTTTAGCGTTGTTTGTGGAGCGAGAAATCCTCTTTAAAACTGGTTAGATAAATGATCGCTGAGGGACATTCTCTAAGAGAATCAGGCATTTGCGGATGAGGGTATTGCAAAACTTAAGCCAATGCAAAGCCAATGCAATCAAACTACTGGAGTGGCTTAGCGTCACAACGTTAACGTTCTGCTTTCTGTACACCTTAGTGGCCTGCTTAGCGTCGTTAGAAAATGGTATAATTAGACTGATGTGCCGCTTCATGTGGGTATTCAACAACTGAACATGACGTAATAAAACGCTTTGAACATAAAAATGGTAATATTTCTACATGGTAGTCGATATGCAGCTTTAGGCGCTTTGAAATTTCGTACCCGACAACTACAGTTTGTACAAACAGTTCACTTCGGTTTTGACCCTTTCATCTATTGGCGTATCGTTCATTAAGCATATCTCAAGTCACATCATTTAATAAACCACGCAAACTGTCAGTAAAGAAAATACTGACTCCTCTCATTTCCAAGATAGCTACTGAAGCATCCTTTGCTTTTTTTGCTGATCTGAAAGCGTTTAACAACGCATTTACTTTTTCGGTTTAATTACTTTGAGCTCGCATTTTTATAGCACGTTCTCGTATTGCATACCGCTATTACAAATCGTTTGGTTCTTGAATGCCAATTTTTGTTGAAGATTTGTAGTTCGCGTTGCCGGCAACAGGTACAACCAAAATTAATCCACTGACATATAAAAAATTAACGTAAATTGACCTCGCTCTCTTTCTAGTTGGTGCGGATTACTGAAAGAGGCCGAATAGAACGCTCCGGCATATTATGGCTCGGTATGCTGTAACCGGGTGTCATTATCTTTTGCAAACGATCGTGGAGTAACGTAAAAAAAACGCTTGTCGATGCATGTGATGAACGAGCACTGCCTTGGTGTCGCACTGGTTACTGTTCTGTTGTGACGTCGATTGGCTTATCTACGTAGACGACAGCCCGTCTTTTATAACAACCGGTTTCTAGGCTCTAGAAAGAATTTCTAGGCTCCTTCTCATGCTGGCTGTTACATACTAAAACGCTCTTTCCATTCTCCACCATACCTATGCACTTGACTGCTGGAGTTCTTTTCATAAAAGCAGTTTTAGTAATCTAGCAAAATATTGGCAAATCAGTTCGTACAAATTTATTGAACTTTCAAAAAGAGAAACAGAAACAAAAAGATGAATATTTGATGCCAGATGTTGATAAAGTGGTTAATACAACCGTTTTAAAAACTTTGTTTTAACAATTTTGGTGCCAGTACTCTGTATTCTGAACCTCATGGCGAATATATCCTCAAAAAAAAAAACATTCAGCGTGAATATCCTATACCCTATTGTTAGAATAATATCTACCAATTATTGAGACGAATGGAGGTACAACGTTTTCTTAGCAAGCCTTAAAAATACCTTAGAACAAAGAAACCCTAAAGAATGCCATTTAAAAATAGCTGATACAATTGGGCACCACAGTGGTAACTCAAAGCCTTATGACTTAGTTATTAGAAAGGTACCAGGTGAAATACTGAATAAACGACTGTACAGTGGAACATAGCAGAGCGTTACTTTATCAAATCAACTTAAGACCAGGTGGTCTAAGAGGTAGAACTGTGTTCTTATATATATAATACCAACACGTGGAACATCATGTGTATGCATTCACTCTGAGAACTTATTATGAACGTGCTGCGAAAGCCTAAATCTCGTTGGTGAAGGAAGCCCAAACCTAAAAACAGAACTATGCCCATTTTGGGAACATATATAAATTCCGTGCAGTTTGAGATATGTGCTTACATCCCGTTCCGTTGGGATCGTCATGATCATGTTACATTTTGAGAGTCGCTTGTGCAGGATGCCTCTAAATCCATAGAATGGTTGAATTTAATATCGAATTGTTTATATTCTGATACCTTCGATTCTGAGCGACCATCTAAGATCTAAGTTATTATATATGCTGTTTCGTGTGGCACCATTAGGAAAAGATAGTTTATTTTATTGATGTTGCACTATTGGTTCACAAAGCTGGTAGCTTTTCGAAACGCTAATTCAACATTTTCCTTGTATATATTCGAACTTGTTGAAAAACATACTGAAAGGTATTTATCATATATCACTGTCTAGAATGGCTCAAATTTTAGAAGCTAAGTGTGAGTAAAAAGCTAATAAAGGCTTTCGCAAAAGTGCACATCTTATATATTTTAAAATAATTAATTAATTTATAATTGAAGATCGCATATTCTTTTGCAGAACAGTTTGCACCTGCTATAATTGTAGGCATAATGGGCATCAAAAATGTAATTTTCGTAATAGTTTTTTCGTCCGACTAACCGAGACTTTGATAATTGCGCAGTTGGTAGGGACGATCTTACGACCAAATACGCTGATGTAATATTTAAACTAAAGCTCGCGAACTTTACACAGCGCATTAAGATTATGATATTTTATTAGTGTTCATTCTAATTTAGCTCAGTAAGCTAAGATGTAATTCCGAAATGCTGAATAAAAAAAAACTTGTTGAATCGATGCTGCCTTGTACGTGTATATATATATATATATATATATATATAATCCGTATGTAAATAAGATTCATTTGATATCAATTTTAAAGCTCATATATATTATGGCAGAACTCGTGAATTTGCTATTATGATCCAGAGGTTCGACTTTTAATATTGTTCCCGATCACACTATATAAAGGAAATTAATTAAATGGTAGCAAAACGTTTTGAGAACATGGTGTTTTAATAAGGATGTCAAAAAAGAACGACGTGTAGCAAGATATATATGTTGTTTTGAAGTCAAATAAGGTGAGGAACCGAATAGGCTTAAATGCAATCAACAAAACTTCGGACGTTTTTTCGTTTTCCCGCAAATCTTAAATTGTGTATATGATTATAGCGACCTACAGGACTACATTCCAGCGTCGACGCTCGAAGATTTATGCACTGCCCTACAAAATCCGACAACTTTGGAAGTCGTAAAACTTCTACAGGAGGTACAGGAACTCCGAGAGGGGCAACTGTATCAGCAGCGATGCGACCTGGTCGGCGAGATAAAATGTGAGTTCAATTTAATATTAAAAGCAATTTAAGATCTTTTCTAGGTTATTTTTAAATGAGAATTTCTAATTGAAGCTCGGGAGCTCTTTGAATGCTGTTGCCATTTCTGCGGTTAGCTCCTTTTTCGAGAAGTAACACTTCTTCTTCTTCACTAATTCTAACAGTTCTTAATCAATATGAATGTAAGGTGCGTGTCTGCTCTGCTAGCCGTTTTGAAAGTGAAATACGTTATCCCGGGGTAACCATGTCCAATATCCCAAGGGTCACTTTTACGTGTAAGTTGTAATGTGTTATAAAATAAATTATTCTTCTAACTTATCCTTTTTTGTATAAAGTGAAATAAACTCAATGTAATCTTTTCTTCATATTGGGGAAGGTAAGGCTCCAATGGACCTGCCTTTTATAGGCCACGCCGTTTTTTGCAGGAACTAAACATTGGTTATTCATTTGGCAGTATCATCCCTTCAGCATTTTGGAGGTGGAAAGAGTTAAATATTAAATGCAATTCATATTACTAGATACTTTCCTTTGACCGAATTTTAAGAGGTTGGGCTATATGCAATAGCTTAGTGAACTTGTATTGTATCGAACTTTTTTCGAACGATCAAGAAACAAAAGAACTACCTTGTTTTTCCGCCACAGTCCCACCTGTCTCAAAGCTACTATTTTCAAAGGCAAACTAGAAAAAAGTTACGTTTTATTAAAGCCAGAACATTCGAATTATATTACGTGACCGCTTTAGAGGCTATATGTGTAGGCCACTGCATTTCGAGCATATTTGAAACTGGATTCTATTGATGTTCATTTTGCAAGAAAAGTCAGAATGTGGCCTCAGAACACAATCTACCTTAGTCGGAATGCGTTTATGTGTATGTATAAATTTGACTAAGGGATCGTAGTCTTCCAGACGTTGTACCACATGTCGCCAGCGATGTGTCACACGTGGTTGGTGCTGAAAGATATTTTGATGGCTTTATTGGCATAACGTATCGTTAGGACAGATCAATGTTGCCACCAGTGCAGATCATATCATAATTGTAGATTACAATATACTGAGGATAAATATTTATACCAGAATCATGGATAACCAGTATAATTATGGAGGTTTCAGTCCGGTCAAGTTGACACCGGAAAGCCGTGCGCATCGTTACCGTTTCTCTTTCCTCGAACGAAATTCAACTCGTGCAGGTGCCAGTATCTGCGCCGACTTCATATCATGCAGCAATGCTTCACGTCGACTTATAGTAGCCGAATCTTTAGCCTACCTAACTCAGCAGTAAAGGAAAATAAAGCATCGATTTTTCTGATCAGGACTTTATAGCAAGAAAAGCATTTCCCTAAGCCATATAATGCAAGTGTTTCACATGTATACTGGCTATGATGTTTTTCTTCCCGTGATTTTAATTGTTTTCAACTGGAACGTTAAACGGATTTCGTCTTAAAGTTTTACTGTTCTCTATGTTATGTTCTCCGGAGCTACTTGATTGGTTGAAGGACTTGAACAACGCTAACCCCATTAGGTGGTACAACTATTTTTACTGTATATTAAATGTGCTCCCCTTTACTGATTACATATTAAAGCCAGCACTTTGGGAGCTTTTCATAGCTATGCGGTGATTTGCACGGTACTGATTATTTAAAAAGGTCGAGGGTTGGATTACTACGTTATTTGTCATTCTCTTTAAAGCATAAGTGCAATCGAAACCACATGGACTTCATTGGAGAATATGGAGCGTACGCCATCGCTCGACTCTGTTTTCGATTTAGTCTGTAATCGAGGACTGCGATAAGTTGCATGTTTTTGTCAAATAACCATTCTATGTTGCCGATTGCTGTACCAACGCATGAATAAAGAAATTTACAGGAGCTTAGGGTACTTTGCTTAGAATATTTTTGAGGCGATCTCTTGTTATGAAAATATTTGCCAAGATACATTACTATTATGAGCGTCAACTTAAACTTGAATACATTTAGCATTGTGATCAAAAGTCGTTTGCTTACCTGTTCAGTTCCCACATAGGAGGCGCAAACTGACACACGTCTTGCCTTTGTTTCAGGCATATTATTTTGTGGGAACAATTGTGGAAATTGTCCCACACGCGTTTTTATCTGTCCTGAAGCCTGTTCGTAGAGAACCGATCCTTGCCTGTCTGATTTTGTGTTTTCTGTACGATTTCCTAATACGTACTTAAATGATTCTCCTGTTGAGCCGGTAAGGAACGTATTTTACCTGATTTTGCTTGAAAGCTTCAATGGCCACAGCAACTCATTCTTCCGTTGGAAATCTTAAGCTGTTATTATTTCCTTTGTAGCTTTGAGAGTTAGTAACGCACGTAATCGAGGGGGAGGGCTGTAAAGAAGCCTATTATGTCGACAAGCTATCTGTCTACATGATAGTAAAATTCGAAACTGTCTGCCATTAATTCAGCCATGTTCCTCCTTTGAATATGAGAAAGCTGTTGAATTGATTAGCAGATGATAAATCCGCCGCCAGTCTAAATCCTTTTATCACAGAGAGTAGTTAAACGGGCAAAGCGTAATCAGGGTTTTGTTTTATCTAACTGTACGGTAGTCGGCTCAGTTGGTCAGAAAGGCTTGAAAATCTGAGCATATCGTAGATTAGATACATATGGCCACTGCACAGCTCAGATTTGAACCAATGGATTACCATATATAGAGTGTCATTAAGAAAGGTCTTCTAGCTTTTTTCATTACGCCATTCACTCGTTTTACCACAAAAATGCTCGCATATTTGAAAAGTGAAAATTCGAGCCTGAAAGTGGTGTAGGCGCTAAATGGAAACTATAATAGCGGCGAACGGAAATTATTTTGACTAAATTTGTCGTCAAGAAATGCGCTTTTAGTACATGTCAAAACCTCATTGTTTTTTGTTCTTGCTTAGATCTAAACCGACCAACTTGCGCCTTACTAAAATACCATGTGTGTACAGCTGCAGTTTGTCCTTGGCTAGAACGTGCTGCATTAAAGTTTTTCTGATACAGGAAATTGTCGCTCGAGAAAAAGGTTGTCAAATAGTACGACCGCCATGACACGAAGGTTCTGAGTTCTCACTGTCCTCATGTCATGGTGGTCAAATAGCAAAGCTAGAGTAAGAACTTGCGGGTCGCATTTTTCTATCTAACTGAAAGTCTTGAGCAGCAAGGTTGTTCCATTCAATACGATCCCTTAAAGTGGTCGGATTAGATTCATTTTTTGAGGGTAGCTAGAATTTTACACGGAAAAAAATTATTTGAAGTTGGAACCGATTGACCAAATACTTCCACTCTTTCCACTGTTTAAAAGGAAAAAATTGCTTTTTCCTATGAAACCAAATGTTATTTCGCTTAGTCGTGAAGCGATGGCAGCAACTTCTTTCCCATTTTCACTGTTTACTGCCAAGTCGAAGATGGCGACTAGTATAATCCGCGCTAATATATTATCAGCGTAAATATTGTGTTATGTAAACAAATGCGCTAAACGGGCGTTGCATGTATAGGTGTGTTTCATTGTCATGCATGATGAAACTTACCAAAACTATATTATATAAAAAATATAATGTTACAGCTATTATAGATAGTAACCAGCCGCTATCCGACGTTTTCTCTATTATAAATACGGTTAGACTTTTACTTCTATATAGACAAACGGAATTGTGTTCAGTCATAAGACAGGTATTGAGCAAAGCCCGTGCGCACTCTAGTCATTAAAAGAAAGTGGACATTAAAAATACTGTATATCCGTCTGCCTTAGAAACTATCATAAGATCAAAATTGTGGGATATCGCTTGCAGATCTGAATGAATTGGAAAATTTGTGAAGTCAAATAACAATTACATGGAACAGTTACACGGTACAGCCACAAAATCACCAAACTAAATCAATGCTTACAAAAAAATGTTTTTTATGTTGGTACTGTATGATCACACTAATAGCACTGTGAATATATATATATTCAATATGCTAGGATGCAACCAAAGACAACGGTTTTGTCGAGAGAGTGAAAAAGGGTGAAGCCGACAGTGTGATTTATGTCATGCAAGGCAAGCAGGCAGTTAATTGTTGAGATGCACACAAATTGCAATAAGCTCGAACGTACGGACCTTGGGCATTTATGGCTAGTAAAGTGCCTGTCTTCGTTGTTTTTCATTTGGACAGTTTGGCCGTCGTCTCATGGGCGAATTCTTCTATGAAATAAAGTAACATATTTATCACCGACGCAATATAGGTTCGACGCTGTTTAATTTAGCAAGTCTGCGCACATTTTTCTAATTTTTTCCTCCATTTTAAGGACCTCACTTTTTCATACTGGACTACTTGGCAGCGGACGCACATCCTACGCCCTTCAAAAATACGGATCGGCCTGACTCTTTTGCTCATAGGTATATATTATCGATAGCATAAACGAATACTAGATGAAGTAGAGCATACGTTACGCATACATTAGTAGAGCATAGAGTTACGGCCTTCTTTGATGATATTATGAAAAGAAAGGAACAACTGGAAAGGATGAGACGTAAGAGAATCATAGAAGGACAGGCCCGAAACAATCACGGGCCTAACACACTACAATTGGTATTAACGGGAAAACAGGGAGTACGGTCCCCCTCGTAGAAAGAGGAAAGCTAGAATGGAGGATGGACTGGAACGGCTCAAAGGCGAAGGATGACGAAATGACCGTTCCTGCAAGTCATGGTTTCGAAGTAATATCAAACATATCCCGAACCATGACCCAAGCTGGTAAAGAGATCCAGGGTTTAGTGGGTGAAAGTCCCACAGTACCGGACAAAACACAATTCAGTGATGTCTGGTCTGCATAATGCATTTGCCCTTAACCTCCAAAAAAAAGATGAAGTAGAGCATAACACGGGCAATACTGCCCACATCTTATACATAGTCAAAATTAGATAGGAGATGACTACTCGGAAGGACAACATAAACGATAAGCAGGTGAGGTTTCTTCCGTAAATTTTAGCTTTATATCTCTTCCGTGCTCTACTATGCCATATAACAAAGTGCAGTGCACATAACTAGCTTCGAACGCATACAAATGCTCTATGCTACCCGCTGTACATAAATTTTCTATTCTATCATACAGGATTAAATTTGAAGCATTTAATTCTCTGCAATTTGGCGATATAACTGGTTAGCCACAGTGCATAATCACTGTTGCAGATTCTAGACAATTTGAAAAGCCCGCCGTGGCGTTCTGATACGAGGAATAGCAACGCGAAAGCTAGCGGACGTTAGCGCAATATCGCCGTGTGCCGAGCATCAATTCCCAGTATAATGGTACGGCGTTATACTATACTGTGTTGTTGTTTTTGCTGTCGCTTAACGATCGCTTCAAATTTAAACCCGTGTGATAGAACAGAAAAGCTCTGCACAGCAGATTGCATAGAGCAGTTTTATGCGTTCGAGGCTCGCTGTTTGCGCTGCGTCTTGTTATATGGCATTGTAGGACACAGAGGAGATATAAAGCTAAATCTGCAGAAAAATGACACCTGCTTGTCGTTTATGTTGTTCTGTAGAGTAATCATCTTCCATCTCAAAGTAATTTTCGCTATGTATAACATGTGGGCATTGCTGTCCTTTGTGATGCTCTGCCTTATCTTAGTTATTTGTTTCTATGAGAACAAATGCGATTCTTGGCTAGACAATTTACCATTTGTCAAATAATAAAAAGATACCTTGGTAGGAACACCTGAGGTAGAAAAATAGTACACTGTTTAGTAATGCTTAGATGTTTACAGGAAGACATCTACTACATAGTACAAGAATAGTATTTTAACACAATCAGTCATTTACTACTTGTCAACTCCACTGTCAAAAAACAGTATTCTATTCTCGATTTTGTAGATAATAGCAAGAAAAGTTTCTACAAGTTTTTTTGGTCTAGTCCGTTGATAGAATTCTAACATAGAATTGCAAGCTAGTTAAGCCGATGAATTAATTGCTGTTGTTTTAATCATAAGTCGAGACTGGTTAATGGCCCAAAAGGTAATCACTTACACTTCAAATTTATGTTTACACACGAACACAGGTGCGTGTATCAGTTTATACAATAACAACAACATTAACAACGACAACCATCACCCCCAACATTTACAACATTAGCACTCAACGAATAGTTGTTATCGTCGCTATACCTACCGCCTTAACATAACTTGCGTTTTATTGCTTTAATTTTGTCGAACCAAAATTAGTTCGAAGATCATCGTAGGCTCTCTCGTAGGAACTCAGAGATGCAACAAGTCGCCTATACCTGTTGATGATAATAAGCGTTGACCATAATATACATAATAATACACATGGATAACGAGTTATGACCTTTGCATCAAGTTGGATTGATTTCTACTAATAGAACTACTTACAGAAATAGGTTCCGTAGCCGCATGTAACGACTGTAGATAATCAATTTTACCAAAACATTCTCTCAATTTGTCTACTTTTCAGTGCTAGATGATAGCGTCTATAAATATGAGTACGCATTATAAACATAAGCTTGAAAAGCCAAACATCCTGCGTGACGATCAAGGTTAATTGTGTGTATATGGGGCCGTGTAATCCATAACGGCTGCTAATCTACGTATTAAAATACAAAAAATATCCAACAAAGTGTGACTAAATCGTGCCAACAGATCAATAACATATAGAATAATCTATAAACGTATATGCACAGCAAACCATTAATGTTGAGACATTATTGTACGGACATTATTGTATTGAAACGGTTCAGGAGTTACTCATAAAATTTCATTTATCCACTCTTCCTGATGTATTGATTAACAATATATTATCATAAGAGCAGAATCAAGAAAGCGATAATATTTTGCATCATATAAATTATACAAATCTAGTTGGGCTTGTAAAACCTCCATTTTAGTAATTTGCCAGATATTTTGAAGCTTGTTATGCAGGATAACGGACAATTTGACTAATTCTAAAACATATTTACCGTCGGGCTCGGAGAAGCCTTTTTTTTTGCAGAGCCCTATGGCTGAACCCATGCACGACATAGCAAATCACGACGTATCGGCTTGACCGATTCATAACTTCTTACCGTATCCAAGTCGAAGAAATCTTAAAGGATTCTCCCTGTTTCTGTGTTTGGCCTTAAAGGCTTATATTGATGAGAACTCAAACCGGTAACGCAGCTCCTAGAACAACAGTGACGAGTCGACTAGTAGATTCGCGACGCGATTACGGGCTGTTGTGTAGTCCAAGTATATACCTGAAAAATGAGGCTTTATCGCGATTTAATTGTTCGAAGTTCTCCGCTTTGAGATCCTCTCAAATAAAGTATATTTCATGCGATGCCATCGAAGAGTATCTTGTATGATGCCATCAGAGCTACGCTGAGGTGGGGCAAGCTAGAGGCGGTTGCGACAAAAAAACAATGAAGTAGCTTTCTCCTCTCCCATGCAACAGAAGCTATTTTCCTGGATCTTTCGAGGACGTACGCGAAAAACTTTTGCCATTTACAGAGATCAGTAACTCTGAGTACGGGAACTGATTAATGTCCGCGAGCGGTAACCAGGCAAAGCACAAGATGTTAGTAGGCGCTCTCTTGCATCTTTTTGAGTTGCGTCGTGGTCGGGATTATCGTCAGTCTTAGTCTGTGACCTTTTGTCTGTGACTACCGCCTAAAGCCGGGTCGGACCCGTGTACCACTAAACCGCTTGCTTACAGGATGACCTTGACTAACTTTCTCGATCGGAGGCCTTTCACCAGGATGAAGATAAGAGTGGGTTCAAGTTGTCTTTTTATGCTAGACCAAACGTCTGTGTAAATAATCAAAATTCTTATACTTACAGACTATAGGTAATAATTTTAATGTGGAGTATTATGTAAATTATGTGTCTTTTCTCTTTCGGCTATGTTAGCATAGATGAAGAGGCCTAAAATAAGCTACTGAGCTTATTGGCACTGCTGAGTTACCGTTGCTTAATTATTATATGGGTCTGTGCTATTTATTTGCCATTCAAATCCCTTAAAATAAAATCGCCTTTATTTGCAAATCGTTAACATCACCACTGTAAATGCATCCCGGTTTAAATACACCATTTTGTTTTTTTAGCACGGCTTGGCGAAGTGCGAAGGCAACATCAAGAGCGTCGGGAACTTCAAGCAAAGGCGGGACTCAGCTTAGAAGAGCTCGATAAAGAACTCGAGGCTCAATGGAATCTTGTCTCGGTATGTAGCTAAGCTTTCCCGAAATGAAAATTTTTCAACTCATCATCAAGTAAATTTATTTGATATTCGGTACAGTAATATAGTCCTATGCATCAGTTCGCATTGTATTCAATATATGCAATGCTGGTTGCTAGTGGTTCCATTCTAACGTTTAGCCAGTGACAGTATCGTTCTAGAGAGCTTGTTAATTAAGACTTGCCTCGTTTGGCAGTAAAATATGAGACGTCATCCTGTTTACTCAATGCGTTTGTTTTAAAATAGTTGTTCGTTTAACAGCATTTTTATTTTGTTTTGATAAGCGGTCGTTTTTTTTACTATTATAGAAATTATACTATCTTTATTTATCGTATGCAATGAATAAGAAAAGTTTAAATATATATATATATATATATATATATATATATATATATTACTGTGTAATGGATAAATTAAAAAAATTGTTTGTTTACATTTTGCTTATTTGTTTGGATTTGTTTGGAAGAAAGCGTTTAGGTGGTTGTGCTTCAATTTTGGTCAAACCTTTCTTTGAATGCAAAGTTGTAATGTTTTTCGTCATATTTCTAGCAAAGAAAAAAGCGCAGCAGATTGCTGGTAAAATATACATACTGCATGAAATTCATCCCCTTTTCTCCTAATTGTTCCTCCTACAACAAACTTTAGTACTCCTGAATAGCATTAATCGAACGATACATCAGGTGAAAGATACATCAGACCTATATGATCAATCTGAAGGTTGACGTCAACTGGAAGCAGGAATTGCAATATTCATCGCCTTTCTTTTCGTTCACTTTTTTTTTACATCTACGCTTATTTCTGGACAGTTTTGCAACTTAAGGGCTGATGCATTATGCAAACCAAACTTTACTGCTTATAAGGTATCCTTCAGGCGGCGTGAGACCCTTGTTCATTAAAGTATAAACCCATAGTTTCTAAATCCTTGGTTTGGATCTAACTTCAACTCAGAGTTTACAGAAACGGCTCGTTAAGATGTGCATAACATTAAGATGTACATAGGTTATGGGTTCATTATTCTTGCTCCTGCAATATACCCATAGGTGTATCAGCGTCGCCCCTTGTTTGCTCAACAAAATGTCCATCAGGTCCCACTTCCCACGCCCATTCTTTTGAGAAGATCTTCAAATAATTCCTGTCAGACATGTCCTGATAAGCATTTTTTCGTTTTGTCTATTTGGGTAGTAGCTCAGCCCTTCGTCCTTGTTTTTTTTTTACACTAAAACATCTCTAGCCAGTTGTTGCTTTAAGCGCCGTAGTTCAATCGTCTGAGAGATGCACCGTATATGGCCGTCCAGACCGGTGCTCATCGTGTGTATGTGCTCGACTTCCAAAGCCGGTTTAGCCCCCTCTTCACTGCCGTGACCGGAAATACCTTTCGATTTGAAGGTCAAAAAAACTCACGGCCTGACAAAAGTAGCAGTTTTAAAACAAAGAGCCGTTTTGAAGAAAATTTTGCATTCCGTTCTTGCGAAAACCTGTTACTTTTCAAGTAAAATTAAGATGTAGGCTAATTTTATTCTCCATGGAGATGGCTTTGTGACCGTGTTAGGACGCTGGATAATTAAAAATAATAATTAACACTTGATTTGTTAACTATTGCCGTGAAACGCTGTGGTTAGCTACAAGACGAGTGAGCTATCAGAACAGATCAATGGCTGTGTCCATTATTTATTTCTCCAGCTTTGAACGAATGTATTATGTTATATGCTGTGAGTGATACCATATATTACGTTAGCGATAAAGCAAGAGAAAAGAAAGTTGGATTCGTTGCTACACTCGAAACTTTTAGAGATTTTATAAAAACAAACCTGCGACGGATTTTATCGTCAAAACGAGCAGCAAATTCGAAATTCTTATGTTTCAGCGTTGGTGTTGTAGTTGTAGGGTCACAATCTTGTTTTATTTTATTATCATGTATGACTATGTCTATGTAGAAAGCACCTATTTACTTGTCTTGCTCGACCCACGGTGGTGCCGTTTCTATTATTGCCTTTCGTAGGCTGTTTTCAAGCTATAGCAATAGCAAGTAAATAGTGATAACGTACTGCAATAATTTTCACGTATTGCAATAAACATATTACTCCAAAGTCGATTATTTGAACGACTTTATTTTTTTTGCTGATTGCACACGTCATATAGTAGATATTGTGAAAAAGCTGTAAACGTTTTTTTTTACTTCACATATTGGAGGCTAGACCACTTGCATACGGTTTTGTAATTTCGTAATACAATGTTCTGCACTGAGAGTTGACAGATTTGTCTATATAGAAGCTGTTTAGCTCGTCTAACCGAGAACACAGGCACCTTTGCAGCATGTTGAAGTCGCGAACCTTGCCTCATAGATCTCCATATAAACTAATTTTGGTAAGGTGTGGGTGACACGATGCCTACAATTAATGATTTGTTGGATATACCTAGATTAGTCCACAACTACAGAATATATACAATTGTTGCGCGGCGAATACCTAAAAAAGGGAGAACGTTCCACGTCTATAATAGTGTGGAAATAGTTCTTTTGCTTGCTTCCTACGCTTGACCTATTCGTACCGACCCCTTGGATAGACTTGTTCTTTGCTAAAGATAACCAGAGATCAACTGCCCTCCGTACCGGGTCGACGGTAGGCCGTAGTCGGGAGTTTCACTGCTTTTCTGGTCATCAGCTTCGACAAGCTCTACAGATCCAATGTTGTTGACGATATATAGCGTTATGGCAGCCGGATCCGTAAGAGCGGCATCCGCTTAAAAATAGCTAGGAGAAAGCCAAATTCGTCTATGGTGCAGGAAGTGCGGTGCCACGGTGAGTTCTGCCGTTGTTGATTAATCATTATCTGCGGCGGCTCGTATGGTATTTGTGCATGAGATAGTTTTAAATGCTTGAAACACTAGAATGGTAAACCGCGTTTCCCAGCAACCGTTCTACGATAGACACTGTATTGCGACATTTACCACCGCGTGGGAGCTTTACGTTTCTCTGCAGCTCTGTAACGCACCCCATACACATTACGACAACAGTACCGAAGCTCAGACAGTTGCCTTTCGTGACATAATCGGATTCAGTATTTGATTTACTGATAACTAGTCCAATTTATTTTATGTAACTGTCTGCTTGTTTCATTCGAAGGCAAAATACACTTCACAGACAACTGTTCACTGTCGAGGTTATGAAGTCCGCCAGAGCTGCGTCGACAGAATGAATTATAATCGATTAAACTGCAACCTCATGCTCTCAGTTTACACAAGCGTAAAGATGATTCTTTTCGACAATTACCTCAAAGACGGTCGATAAATTCTAAAACATTGAACTGCAAAAGTAATTTAGCATTCTGAAGAATTCAAGTTTTCGTCAAAAATTAAGTTGTTACATTCTTGACATAGTCGAGCGAAGAATTTTCTCATGGCGATGTTAACTATTGTCGATAGTATTCTGACTTATACATGGGTTTGTTTTTTAATGACTTAATATTCGCATGGTATTTTCAAAATCATATTGGTTTCAGTTTGGGATAACCGAAAATTCACAATAGGATAACAGGGAAGACTTTCCCGTTTCTCTGTCAGAACTCCGTTAGAGTCGCAGGTTCACGATATCAAAGTGAAAGGTTACCCGCAACGGGAGTCCTGTGATGATCAACAAAGGTGAAGTGAAGAACAGGATTTTAAGTCACGGCTGTAAGATATAAAACTGAAAGCAATCGAGTAGCCCAGGCAGCGTTGCTGAAACAACGTAGTTGAGTTGAAATAAGTGTGAGAGTAGAAGAATGCAATATATTGAATGATACAAGGTGAGAAAAGAGCTGCAAATGCTACGGGATGGAAGAATAACTGTAACTGAACAATCGACTTACTGCAATAATTCAATAGAACTGCAACAGCAAACACTCATTAGGCAGCATGTATGAGGAAGCCATTAGCATGTTTCCAACCTGAGTGTTTATAACTAGCAAAGATGTGTGAAGCCCATGTGCTGCTCTTCGTGCCCTTCCAGGGAGTGGTCGACTTAGTTTTATTTTTATACACGGTATCAATATTTTAAGAGCTGATGGTACTTTCGAAGACGGCGGGATAGGTTTTGATCATGTTGCTAAGCGTAATCGGCCTTTGCACTGACAACTTCACGTCTGCGACAACTCGTTGTCATCTCTGAAAATACAAAAAAAATATAGGAATCATTTGTGTTTCAACCATAGTGCGGTACTTACCACACTGCAGCAAGTCTATGCGTTTGAACGGTCGAGATATCATTTGTTTAACGTCATGTAAGGGTGAGTGTTGACCGTGTGACTAAGAGATATTCGAATAGTAGTCACTTGACGCCGACTCTAAATAAATACAAATATTCTGCACATCATGCAATTAACACGTTCACAGCCCCACACTCTAATACAATTAATGTATTTTATTTTCGTGTTTGGATGAAGGACGAAGTAAAACGAGAACTGAATAGCAAGGATCTAAACATTATAGGAGAGATCGATAGCACGGTCGTCGAACAACAACGAGCTCTTCAGGAAGTGGGAGTTCCCCATTTCAAGGTGAGTGAATCTTTTCAATATGTGATATGTTCAATATGTGACGATTCCACAAGGGCGATGAGGTTAATAATAAAAATAACAGTGATAGAAAAAGCAAGGAATTCTCGTTGTCGTAGCACAGAAACATAGGACACGTTTGCATTACCAGAAGAATGAGTAATAAATCGCAGTTGACAATTTTTTTTAAGTGAAATGTTGGCTAAAATAGATATTCTGTTTTCAGTAGCTAAAGAGTAATGTAAATTATAAGCCTGTCAGAGATTTATTGAGTATACCGGATCATCTACGGTCTCACTATGATCAGCCAACGTCAGTTAAAACTACACAGTCATCTTACATGGAAGTTAATAATTTGGGTTTCACTACAGCTACGACTTCACTAAATTCTATCCAAGTAAACTTAACACACCAGCACATAGCTTAGGTCTTGACCTATTGAAAATACTGGACTACGAGTGTCAGAAATAGAAGCAGATCAAATATAAAATAAATTGAACCTTTTGTAATTTTTTTGTAGCGCAGGAAGCGTGGGCCAGTATTTCACTTTCAACCATCACAGATTTGTCAGCTTAATGTGCAGATTGCAAGTTGCTTGATCAAAATATACCTCTGAAACGCCCACTACTCTTCTGGACTGATAATTTTATTAAATAATTAGATACTACTTTTTTTTATGTCTCTTTATTTTGACACCAGCGTTACCGTTTTAGAAGTCCATTTTGTTCAAGACGGCACATTGTGTCTGCTTAGCAGAATTTTAGGTTGTCCAAAGCAGCTCACTAGAAATATCTATTATTAAATGCAAACAACGATTGTGCAGTTGCACACAGACTAACCGCCCAATTCAGGCCAATGTAATGACTAAACGTTATAAGGCGCTAGACCTGTCCGCCTCGTGTTTGTTTTGTCGTTAAATTGAAAGTTGATTCACTGATATTATACCCAGCCTAACGTAATCTGTAAGATACACCAACAGCTCTTCCGTAACAATTACGCTGTCTCACCCAGTCCGTTACCCATTTTCATTTGCTTCATTAGTTCGTTCCAGTATATTTACAAGGGCGCTCATTTAGTTCTAGATTAGTCGCGGCGGTACTTTTATTACGACGTTACTAAAAAGCCATTTTAGTGCTGGCTGATTGACTTCGAGATGTACTTGAATAGGGTCAGCTGTCGACCGACCTCTAAGAATCGAACGTGAGTTCAGTTGGCTTCCGGCCAATTTAACACTGGTACTTTTTAAACATTTTTAAAAAATATGCTTTTTTTTTTTAAAAAGTCGTTACACATGCTGCTGATTCCGCATCTAGTACATCGCCGAAGCTTAATTTTCTAAATATTCTGTTATATTCCTTCGCATTTTGATTCTAACTGAAAATAAATGATAAAAAAAAATAACTTTACATTTGCCGCTTTAACATTTCAATTGACACATAGGAATCCGCTCAAAAGTACCTCAAAACGCACTTTCTCTTCCCTATTATGTAGGCGAAATTAATTTTCAATGGGCTTTTGATGATTTTTTCATCGAAATGTCTATACTAAGAGTATAGGAACGTGTATTGCATTTTTACTTAGGTCGATTAGCATCAAGTAAAACCCACTTTAGGTAAAATGCTTTGTTTTCGCTTCCGGGGGCACTTCCTATCTGAAAATTAAAAATTGAGACACGCATTACATTTTAATTCATCTCGGTGGGAACTTTCGGTTGGTATTAAGAATGATTCTACTGTAAATAGATATTCGGCTATTACTCTGTCATTCGAAAAATTTTTCAACAGAACCCCATTATAAAATAGCTTACCTTAGCCTCTACAGCTTTCACACACATGAAAGACTCTTGCAAAATAACTGGCGAAAAAGGGCAAAAGTAAATGACCAATTTGCTTAGCTTAACTTTTTATTCTAAGGAATGAAAAAACTACCCTTGTGAAAAAAGTACTAATCTAATCAGCTTCATTTTACGCGCAGCTCTCTTCGTGTGCAACTCTAGCGATCCACCAAAAATAAATTTTACGACTTGATTGGGATAAACACTGCCGTGTGAGACATATATATATATATATATAATAAGATAGCCATTTATATATATATATATATATATATTAATGGCTATCTTATTAGAAAATGTAGGTATATATACACGCTCTTGATGGCTCGGTTTAACTGTGACAATATTCGTATTTATCAACATCATACATAATTTCATATTCAATAACAGTACAGGTCAATTTTATAAAAGCAACTTAAAAGCAAATCGGGATAACCTACCTTGTTTCGCCGCTAAAATTATTTGATACAAGATCATATTGTTTTAAATGGCGCTTTGGTCAAAAATTGTTTGATTTGATGTTATAACATATATATATATATATATATATATATCCGCCTAAAATTATGAAATGGTAGAAACATCTCGTAAACATAACTAAATTGATATCAAACGAATTCTTTAATGCTAATATTTCAGGAGACAAAGGAGCCAGTTGAATTGCGCATCCAAATGACCCTGCTCGACTTCCTCCTAAGAATAGTTCGGATGCCCACGTTCCGTTCCTCAAATGACGACGACAGCTGACTGGTACATTTTTATAGATGACCTTTAACATTAAAAATCTACTATCCTGTACAGGCTTGCTTTTGCTTTTCTAAGAGCACATTGCTGAAATTCTGCGGATTTAAGATGAATACCTCATATGAAATTGCTAAAGGAAATACGGCTAGAATAAAACTTTCTTAACCCTAAAATGGATACTTTTTCTTTGATTAAGATGTATTTAAATACGAGGTTGAATGTAATATGAAAAACTATTCCTAAGTCAGACGAAATATTCTGATATCTACAAGTTACATGAACCGAGTGCCAGTATGGTACTATAGGGGATAGTCAGTTCTGTTATTAAATGTGCATGTGTAGTGTGAAGAATGTGAATTCTCAATATATCGATTCACCTTATAGACGAAATCACAAAACGAATAAAAATTTTAAACCTGAATATAGGTTTTGCTTAAAATATTTCAGATTCATTGTTATCAACCCTGTTAGCTTTAGCACTTGCGAGTATTTACACGTTTAAAAAATAGTTAGCACAACTTCACGTTGAATTATCAAAATTCTGCATACTACAGAAATGAAGGAATGTGTGCATGTATAGAAAAACTACCGTTTCAATTATTATTATCTAGCTATGCTGAATAACCTCACATTGCTATATTTCAGTTAACCTGCTGCATTGTTTTAGACTTACTGTTATCTTCCTTCGATCATTAAATAGTTTTAATCCAGATATTGCGTTTCCGTGTCCTAGTCGCCCCATGACCATGCAGCATCACCTTGGAACCAAATGTACCCTATTGAACTTCTCTATTATCCCGCTTATGTGTTATCTCATACGTTTTTAGATCTCATAAATTACTTGTCTAAAGCTTGGGAAATCAAACTATATCTGTATTACGATATTTTACAAATAGTGTTGAGCCGATAACTACATGAATAGGCCGGCATTTTTCTCTTTTTGCGTTTCTAGGGAGGTGGTCTGCATATGTGTATTTGTAAATCTCTAATTTTGCTTAGGAGTCACAGAGAGAATGTTATCCATTCCTCACTCAGTGTGTCAGAAAGCCGGAAAGTCATATACAGGGGACGCTCGCTGGCTCAGAGCGTCGATTACAATACAAAAAAATTCTAAGAAAAAAAAAAGGAAAACATTCTAATTCGGTATCATGGTATTGTCAGCAAGTAAGCGCTTACATTACTTTAAACGAGTATAATATACAACGTTTGTATTTGGCTCAACTATTCACTTATATGATTAGAGAGCATATCATCAAAAACCATCAAACATGTTCTCGACGAAATTTAGTCCCCGGACGCCCTTCGGTTCTCACGTAAAAGGGTTCTACAAAAAAATTATAAGCTCAGACCAAAAACATGCATTTTCAGCTTGAGACTTTCGATTGCCTTCGACCTAAAAATACATAAGTATTGCGAGCTTGATGAACCGATATCGATAACGTTCTAGATAGTATACATATGATACCATAATGCAAAAGGCTATTCATTTCAGCAAATCCGACTCTAACAACTATTTAGCCGTTCTAATAAATAAAAATCACATTCCAGTAGACCACGGATTATATTCTTGATTGTTGATATCGCCTGGGACGATGTAAGGGCAATTCTAAAAACTTGAAACTGGTATACGATTTCAACTTCACAGGATACGCGGAAAACAAATCGACGTGATCTTGACTTGGCATATTTGTTAAATTAAGTTACTTTTAAACATATGCACATTTTTCAGGTAGCATGTATTAAAAATACACCTAACATGTAAAATACAGATTTGATCTCTACTAATATAGCCTAACAACATTAAACACTTTCTTTTCACCCAACTCTAAAGGCTACTGAATTGATTTGCCTGATTCGATTTAGCTGTATAGCCAGCAGTAATATTTTTCTACCTTTAGATGCATTTGTAAAGAAATTTCTGTGTTTCGCAGGACAAATGATAACACCATAATCTAAACTTAGCGACTGCGAGACGAGTATTTTTGTTGGTATATTTCAATCTATAACCAGTCGTTGTAGGTGTGCTGAACAGCAAGGAACCTACTGAAATCTTCCTCTTTTTTATTTGTTTATAAAGCTGCGATACGCCACCTCAGGAAGCCGGTCAATCACTGCCAGGTTTTGGGTACTCTCACATACACAGAATTTAATTGTTCTAGCAAGTATGTCTCAGTTTAGAGAAGTTTACCAACGCCTATTATATTTTTCAGAAATTAATCATTGGTGGCACTATTTTTCAATCTAATTTAAATGAGAAGAACATTATCTTAAATGTAGTCAAAGCTGATTGTGGGATGTAAGTGCAGGAAGATTCGGCGATAATAATTGAGAAACATTTAATGTCAGTTTGCAACGAAATATAGGTTATCTAACTGTTTAATTAATAATACTATAGAGGCGAAATTCATTTATGTGGGTAGAAGTATCACCAAAGTAAAGTAAGGTGTTAATTGGGTACAAGTACTGAAAATGTCACTGATCAGAGTTAAAAAAAGCAGCGCTTAATGGTAATACGAGACATAAAACTCGAAACATTTATGAGAGCCGAGGCTAATTCGCGGCCAGACGAATACAGAGCGCTAAACCGGAACTCGATGCACAATTTTCATGAAGATGTAAATGGAATAAGGGATGTCATACAACGATACAGAAATATGTAAACGATTGAATACTTTCCAAGGTTCAAGGAAAATAATAAGAATATCTTAGTTCGAACGCAGAGTAGCCTTATAGAAAATATCCAAGAGTTGTGAAATACGAATGGCATCCACTGTGGGAACCGCACTGAATCGCACCGGAACTATTAGGTTCGAATTCGGACATAGACAGCTAGGAGCCAGCCATCTAATGGAATGCCTAACGGCGATACCGAAATATAAAGGTTTGCTTAGGTAATAACCAGGTTGCATAAGGTCCTACCTGTTATATCCTGAAAGGATGCAATAACTGTCGATCTCAAATTCTCACGAGATTGCTTAATATCATTTTTATGGATAAATAGAATTCTGCATCTCATCAATACCTCGACAAAGACTCTTCCTTCAATACAAAGGTTAGTTAAAGCTGCCATAGAAACGGCCCAATATAAAACTTAATTTCATAGAAAGGCTGTCGCCATTCGATGATTCGTGGACTGCGAAGATATCTAAATCATATGTCAGAAGAGGCTATTTTTAAATAAAAATAGAGATTAACGTGCAATTAAGAACGTGTGAATGACCTCAAAGTTATCAGTCAATTGTGTTTTAGTCAACGTTGAGGTAACCCAGCTGCTCTTAAGGATCGGTTAACCTTTCAAGAGCTTTCAACAAATCGACATAAAGTTGTGGTTTTTCCAAGTAGCTCGTTTTTTTTTATCATATCAACTAACTACGTTTATTTTTGCTCTATTTTTGCTAAACTATCATAATCTTAGTTTGTTAATCTCTGACATTATAAAATGCCAAACATGTAATCAACTAATAATTTTGGAAAACATATTAATTAGATTATCGTTCCATTGTAGTCGTTCACAATTTACGTATGGCCTCATGATAAAATCGTGATAGAACTATGTCTGGAAGTACACTTCAGTTGTGAAACTGGGTTAAGCTTCAACAGCCTTTTGGTTTTTAATTTAAGATATCTATTTGATTTGCTTATCTAAGAACAGATTAAACAGATATCCTGCTGAAAACTTGAACCTGCTGCTGTCAAAGACGGCATATTGGTTACACGCTTGTTTATTACGTTGGCGACTCGAAGATAATAGAGCGTGCTGCCAAAGAGACGAACCTGAGGGCGGGTTGCTCACATTCACGCAAAAAACTGAATGCATACACGACGGCGCTACAGTAATATGTTTGCCTTGTATGCTTGACTGAGAAGCTTTGAGGTTAAAACTGGAAATGGACTTCCTTTGCTGCATGCTCCGTGGAAACTAGTCGTCTTACGCAATGACTAAAGGCAGTACCGGACATAAAGCTCGAAACATTTCATTAATTGTGTTACTTGAATTTATGTCAACAGATGCCAAGACTTCCGGTCCTTGTATAGTTTAAAATAAAGTCGGAAGAGTGCAATTCATTGCTGGTAGACGATTACATTCGAGGTAGATATCATATGCGTTGTCGCGTAGATTCTTAACTTTTTAGGCTTGATTAACGCTCCCAAACGTTTTCCAGGAATTTTCCGTATTGGGCTTTTTCGTTTTGGTTTCATTGTTTGTTCAGGTCTCTTTGGCATCATTAAAAAATTACACGCTAGTCAGCTCCGTTAAATAAATGCACATATTGAGGTTCCACGATTTGCTCAGGTTGCCAACATAGATTGCCATTCATCTACCAAATTTTTTTTAATTGGAGGTTATAGTTTTCCATATGTGCTCAATCAATTTTTAGCAAGGAAACGATAAAAGTTTCGAAATAGGATTTGGTTTAAATAAACGACTATATTATTTTTGGTCTCGTCCATAGTCAACACCTTGACTGTTGCGGAACTTTACTTAACAGAGATCTTATAAATAGGCTAGATACTGATACTTTAGCGACAGTCCAGTCTGAACAATCGTATTGAAGATCCCATCAAAAGGGTACAGATGAAAAAATTAAGCGTGCGTTAAAAACTTGTTTATTTTTTTGAATACGTAAGTTCAGGAGTACATTTTGAATGCAATAATTCAGGAATCTATATAGTCTATACATTTTCGTTACTCAAAGATGTTTCCCTTCGTCCAGTAGAGCACACCAATAAAAACACAAAATATTCTAAAAAAGTACGCGTTTTTTGTCGATTTCTCATGGGCACAGCCATATAGAGGAACGTGTAAGCCGACCGTATCGAAAATGGCCTTAATCTGCGTCATTTTTTGGGAGCTTAACTTGCAAAAAACACTGTCATGAAAACAACGGGCCTGAAAAGAATCCACGGTAAAGCAACAGGGTAAAAGAAGAACTCCGGCAACTTGAGTTCTGGCCAAACGGGCTTAAACCACTTAGAATTAGATTAAAAAAGCTACAGGATTGTATTATGTAGTGTTCGGTTTTGTGTTATTATGTGCTACGGATAATGTGCTGGTAAGGGGTGAATGCATATTGATTGGTAAAACTGAACTCTCACTGTATAACTTTAAGGCTTTATAATGGATTCTCATAAACATTTATTTTTTTATTCCTGACCCTACCGTTTTATTTAGATGTAGATTCGTGATTTGAGAATTGTATTCAGTCTAGTAAAATATTATTCCCGTGATAGCCTAGTAAATAAGCGATTTGGCCGCTAATCTTAGGGATACGTTGTGATCTAGGTTTGAATACGGGCATAGACACATTTCGTTTCGCAATAGAACCCCTAACGGCGATGCTGGATGCAAAACTTAAAGATAAAGAGTAAAATATTACCCATACTGCACTGCATAACGAAATGTTGTTAAACCCAAAATTCGAAAACACAATCACACCTGTCAAATTTGGGGACACTGCATAGTACGCAAATATAAATTTTAGCTCATATATAGTTCGCAAGATATTTGATACTTTATATGCCTGCATTTTCAATATCTTTCGAAAATCGTCACACTTTTGCTCTTATTATTTCTAAAGTTTATTTCTGTGTATCGATTTCTGTTTTAAAGAATGTCGTAAAAATATCTGATTTTTCTTAGCCATTTTCTTTCGCATTTGTGGCAAAAACTTATCAGTTATCCCTATAAACCGGTATGGTGATCGATATGTTCCACCATTACTCTGAAATCTATCTTTAAACACTCCTTGGCCAGTGCAGAATTTTACAACAAAAAATCGTAGTATTTAAAATCATAATTTTTTCGGGTATTACACGCCTCACGTTTCTGAAGTGTTGTCTATGGTGCATCCCGAGGCAGGCTGAAGACAATCATACGCCTTAAATTAAAGTTCGTAGGCTTGGTCGCTTGAATTCAATATAATAGTACAAGTTTTGCCAAGACCTTTAACACAAGTCTGGAGAAAACTAATTTAATGCTTAGTTCAGGTTTACTAACAAACCAAGCGTCGTTTCATAAACCTGCAGTTTGTATAAAAGCGCTTTTGATCGAAATAAAACCAGTACATCATCCTTATTCAGTTTAATGTTAAGATTAGAACTCCCGTAATTAATTAGCAAGATATCTTGTACAACTCGGTGATTAGTAAGAGCCTGCGCTGTATCATTAAGATACTTTGAACACTGTTGCTGTAGCAGCGCTACTGCAACTTCTCCTCGATTGTTTTTAAACTTGCGAATTTTTCGTTCACCCAAATTCTTAAACTACCCTATAACACCTCATGTTCTGCTATATATAAATGCTTTAGAGTTATTATTATCTCTTTCTGAAGCTTTTTGGGGCGGTCTACTTTATCAGCAATTATTATTGAAACATAACTAGGTGAAAGTTATTTTATGTATAGGGTCAATTGACGCATGCAAATAAACAAATGTATCCCAGCGGTTTGACAAGCTATGACTGTCTAAGCCGTTGTTCAGGTCAGCGTATACCCTGTAGGAGCTTATGAAGTGGAACTATCTCCTTTGTAAAATCAAAGTTGGCGCTCTGGTATGATTTGTGGCGAGCGGCAAATGTTGTTCTGTCGATTAAGCACTTCCTCGCGCTTTCCAAGGTTCCGATTTTTAACGGTATGCCTGTGTGCAGTCACCAACAGCATCTAACTAACATCATGAACAGCGTTGACGGCAACCGAAAAGGTTATTTTTATTCCCCTTTTGAAATATTTCGACCCAAGTGAATAGTGAGTAACGAAATTCTTTTTTCAGTGCTCGCTATCCAGGCGAAGAAGAAACGGTCCCGAAACCCAAAGGCTGGCAAAATGAAGGTTCAGCAACGACGCGCTCCAGATCCGGCCTCTAGGTAAGCCTACAATTTTTACTTGTTTTTAGGTCATTTTGTTAATTTCCTGCCACAATCAGCGTGTTTCTGGACACGAATAACATCATAGGTACTCGGTAAACGTATAGCACATGTTTATCGAACGGTAGATGGTTTCAAGGGTCGCGATTGCAAAGTGCTGCCCGTACGACCAAGGCTGGTTGCTATCCATAGCAACGTTAGTAATATTGTGCACATTGCATAGCGGACTACATAGAAAGCAACTACCGGCTGCTTGTCTGCCTCTACCCGTAGCCCGTGTATAGAGTCTATTGCGCTTGCGATTAGCTTGTGTTATGTGATGTCTTCGTTTACGTGAAAATATGTGAAACTAGCCACGGTATTAGTGATATTGCGATGGATTTAACGTATGAGCGCCAAGTAATGCTGAGGATTAGCCAAAGAAAGAAGTAGGAGCGTTTCTTGTTCTTGTGCACTGTGCGTGGATGTAGGGAGCTGTGTAGAAAGGAACTCTACTTGCACAGTCAAACTGACTAAGTGACTGACGCAACCCATTAATATAGAAAAGATATATAAAAGCATAAGCAATTTAAATCCGACGTGCATGTCTCAAACTTTGCAATAATGTCAGTCTGTTTAGCTGAGAACTCTTTGTGCACATAGTGACTGTGTTGACTATGGTGACGGCTTTGGCCTTTTTATGCGAAACACAGGACAGCTCTGATTGTACAGACTGCATTGGGCTAAAAATGGGGCAACTAGTTCCTGCTATTGATCTGAGGTGTGCAAGCCTCTGGTCATGAACAAGTAACGAGTCATAATAGAAACAAAAATATAAATGTTTTTATTTTGCCATAGTTGATTCGTATGTACAGTGGTTGTCACTTTGTTGCTACTGTTCTTGGTCAAACTCTCTGTTCAGTTAGAGCGCAGTTTAGGGCCAACTGCGCAGCCTTACATTGGCTTAAAACCGAATGCATAAAAATATCTAGGAGTGAATTTACCCTAACTGATAGCGTTGTGTCAAGAAGAAACTGTTTTTCGCAATTTGTTTGTTTCTATGTATTAGAATTATGCAAAATAGCAAATTGCGTTATTTTTTTTTCTAGTATATATCGTTAATAGGTGTAAATGCCTTTGGTTTCTTCTATAAAGATTTCTGTATAAGCCCGAAACTGAGTGCAAACAAATATATCGAATGGGTCTCTCTAGTAAGTAAAGTAACCACGGCAATGTTCTTCGTAAAACAAAACCAAAACTAAAAGAACTAAAAATCAGTTTGAAAGATGCTGACAGTTGGAGAGTCTTTATTCTGTCTATTTAAGTAGCTAATTTGCGCGAATTATTAGAATAAACAGTTCCTTTGACTGTGGAACATAATATACCATGCTGTGTTATGGTGTCAATGATCATTACTCTGGTCGTTAAAACGATGTTACTAAATAATATCAGATTACCCTATGGTATATTTACAACATAGTATTATAAATATCTACAAGTGATCAAGATCGGAAGATTTAAAAACGGCTCAAACAATTTTGATTGTTTTCAGTGAGTGAAATTTGCCCAAAAAATTCTGTTCGGAAAAACTAATTTTTGTGTTTAAAAAATATTTAAATTATCCTACGGTCATCGAATCATCAAGTTCGTACACTAGCAGACAGCACTGAATTAAGTACGAGGCATTTCTTTGTTGAAATGGGCCGCTTTGCCTATGCGGAGTCTAATTTTGTGCCATTCACTTGTTTACGCGTATGATCGAAGAATATAGGCTCCTTTCGAGTATGTCATGAATAATTCGAAATAATTTTTTTTGTTAGTTAGTTAAAATTTCTGGTGGTAAGGAAATGCTATTAAGCTATAATGAAATGCTATTGGGGCTTATTAATATGCGTGGCCTGTATCCGTAATAGCGGCACGCGCTTGCCTATTATGCTTAGGGACACGTGGTAGTTTGGGGTCAAAACCCGGCGTAGACACACCTTGTTTTACACTGGGAGTTAGCTGTCTAAATCAATGCTAAGCAGCACCGAATGTAAAACTCGAGACCTTTATAATATGTGCGGCCTAATATCCTTATATAAATCACTGAGGGTCAATAAGAGATTGAATTTTTCGTGGTAGGGATAGCCTAATTGTTTTAACAATGTAGTGCACAGCATATCACCATAATATTGTGAATACCTTTCTGTAGCAGTAATAACGAAAACGAGTCACATAGTAAAATACGTAGTTATAATACACTCAAACAAACAGGTTTTGTCGAAAATTCTCACGAAATTTATATGTAACAAATACTGGAATAAAAACGATTTTCTTTTATGATTGACAACCTGGACACCTTACTACAAGGGCATTCAATAGCAAATTAAGAATGATCAATTATTGCTAAAACGTGAAGTTGGTATAATAAATTGTACAATTATTTCAAATAGACAAAAACTATTAGTTTAATAGTCAAACAGTTCAAAAAGGGTGCATGATATTTGTTGTTTTTGGAATTTCTACGAATGGCATGATCTGATGATTTTATGAATCTTTTGGTGTGATATTAAAATGTCGCTTCAGTTTGAGAACCTTTAAAAATTGGCACATATCTAGATGGAATGTGAATTATGAAGTAAATATTTCGATTAAGTTTTTTAATATAACCAGCTCTCACCTATTATGTCCAAATTGCACGAACTTTATCGCCGGTTATATTTTTTACGATATGTCCTCCGAACCTCAAGATAATAGATATACCAGGAAATGTGCGAACTTTATAGAAGCTCTTGTACAGTTCTGACGTTTTCGTGATTATCCATTCTCATCAGTGTATTTCGTATAACAGAACCTGAGTGAGTTATTAAAAAAAACCCTTTACGAAACATCAGATTTAGTTTAAGATGTAGTTGATTTCGCGCTGTTCGTTTCTATTATAAGCAGTGAAGAAATTGTCACAATACTCGGGCCCATAAGGGTAGGCAGCCAGAAAAGTGTTCCAAATTGGCCGGTGTGCCCCAAGTATCTCTGTACAACGATATTGAATTTCATTGAAACAAGTATTATCAATTAACGGAGAATTTGATTGACGAAACCATCTTTAGCAATGACAACTTACAGAACTCAATATATATATATATATACTGAGTTCTGCAAGTTGTCATTGCTAAAAGTGGTTTCGTTAATCAAATGATCTCCGTTAATTGACTTCTGTGCTTTACAGTGTAAAAAGCGACTACTAGTATATTAACATTTTTTCTGCACAATAATACGTCGGAAATCTTTTCGGTGACTTTACATTCGGATTTTAGATTTTTTCGTTGTAGTCTCTTAGTAGTATATTGATTCACATAGTGTAAATGGAACAATTGTATTTTGTACCCTAACAAATTTGTTTATTCATTCCATTTTAGCTGGGGTAGCAGCGAATAGAATTTGGCGACTTTATTAGATCAAATGTTAGATTAATTCAATCCCTATAGCTTAAAAATTTTCTCGCAATATCTATATCTTCAGCATTCTAAGGGTCTTTGGTAGAAGTTAGGTTTATTGCGCTTCGTTCGGTGGATGCAGTTAATAGATACGCGTTCTATAAATTAACGCTGTATAGTCCTGTTGCCCCTGCTAGATCGTTAGTACAACAATTAGTAAGCTTGGTAATAATTAAGCTTTTTAAAGGTATATGCATATATGATTCTACTATGAAATAGTGTGGTTGATTGAACAGGTTGTGTTACATGAGAACTAAAGTCAAATTTCGATTATAGTAACTCCAGGATATCTGACAGTGTAAAATTGAAGTTGGCCAGTTGCCACGAAAATATGAGAGTCTTCAGAGAAAACAGTTTGAAAACGAATGTATAGGAACGTGGTGATTCCTCAGCGCTAAGGACGCCGTCTATCTTCACATAATCGGCATATTCTTTAAGACAAATTGTATATACACATATATGTACTTCGACGCCAACTTATCCGCCTGCAATTAGAGCTTGTTTTTTGCATTATAATATTTGTCAAAAATAACTATGACGTGAGGTTTTCGCCGAGTCATTACGTTGATAAAGAAATCCTGTTTTAATGAGATACATTGCAGTGTAAACTATCAGAAGTTACTAGATAGAACTCATTTGTGTATAGATGAATTGCAAGTATATCATCACTCTCTATATATAATTGAACTCTCATTTTTTCTTTTCTATTTTTTTAGAGCGTTATTTTGTGCCTCACGTTAGCTTAGCGCTCTTGTGTTAGAGCTCTAGTGTTCCTTGGCGTTTAATTTATAGCTCATAGTAATTCGTGTAAGACAAGAGCTAAATGAGTAAAATTTCTTAATAATGTTACTTGTATCAGCTGCTAGTTAATATGGTACAATTAACTTTTTACTCTTTGGACGCAGAATTTAACTCTATTATGATTGTTATTATTGTCCTCTGCCTGAGAGTCCATATTACGACCAACTACATTTTTATACGACCTCCAATCAAACACTATAAACTGAAAGATTTGACTAATTATTGCTTAACATGACTGGTAATGCCTGCTTTCGTACATCTTGAATAATTTGTGTGCCTTTTTCCCTTTTTCTGTTTCTATTTTTACTGGCTTCCTCCCTTTCGTTCGGACTTCGATTGCGCCTTCATATATTCTTGAACAGTCCCTCTCCCCATTTGACTGCGAGTGGAAAAGAGTTGCGGACAACCAAAAATCAGCACTTCACATCAGGTCCTCTGCAGCGCCATCTACGCCGTTCTCTAGTGGGCATGAACAGCTAAGAACATTTGGGGGAATTATGAAGGGGAGGAGGACATAGAAGAGGGAGAGGGTTGATCGTCCGACCAACCTCTTGTCTATCTGCGGACTCTATGGTGAGCCGCCAAACTGTTGACATTCGCATGTATCGCTGGCAAGTGGTAACAAGGGATAGAAGACGCGCTCGTGTCGTTCGACTAACCAGTTCTTAGCTTTGTTTCTCCTCAAGATTATTGGTTCACTTTTACATAGCGCCGACAGTGCCTGAATATTTATTAGCAATAAGTGCTGATTCTTGGCACTCATATCCGTTGACTGATCCTGCAGGATTCTTAGAATTTTCACTTCGTCTCTAAAATTCGTTGTACCTTGAATTTTATTGCAATGGTAAAACATATGGATTTTGCCTTTAAAATGTCTACAAGCTGCTTTGAATAGCGTATCTTATCCATACTAGTGTAGATTTATGGTCAAATGGATTTTTAACAAAGTGGCTACACTTACTAACATAATTAGGACGTCACTCCTCTCTTTTGCTCCGTGAAGATTTCTAATAGTCAGATAAGGAGCGAGGTAATATGAGGGCTCCGTACGCGTGGCACATCGATTTACTGAAAAGCCAAGGTGCAAGTTAAACCTTTAAGGTCTTTGACGTCAGCTCTACCGTTTAAACTCAAGCGTTTGCGTACAATAGCATGGATGGTAGCTGATAAGATTGGGCTGTCGCTTATAGTGACCCGCCTAACCAGATTTGGAGACTCAACCGGATTTCATTAAATGCATCACGATTTGTCAACGCCAAGGGCACTTTGGCTTCTCCTATGCGTGAAGCGATGTATAGAAAAAGCAGCACGAATTACCTCTTGCTGACTGATTGGGAAGAAAGGATGACAATACCAGAAGGCGCACATCAATATCAGCGATTGTTGACGTGTAAGAACGTGGCACAGAGTAACAAAAGGCGTAACAAGGTTGAGGGTTCAACAAACTAAAAAGGAGTTTTGAATGTTCAAAGCGAGAGGTTACGGAAAAAAGTTATCAAGGACAAATGAAAATTTGCGATCACAGTAACTACAACCAAGCTAAGCTTGGGTTAAAATAGAGACAACAAGAAATTTTCCTAGAAGTTTTTAATTACAGACATCATTAAAATTTGGACGTGTTCCCACGGGTGTTGCGAAAAAGTTACTGGTTAATTATATAAAATCATATCAGTAGCTCGATACACAAAATACTTATCCAAAACTGTTATCCGTGATTCAGCCGACTGATTTTTTGCAGGAACTAAAATTGCCATTTTAGTGCATACGGTTTTACTGTAAGTTAGTATTTCCTCTTTGACGAAGCATTTTTTGTGATCCAAGAGTTCTCATTAATCGCTCGAAAACCTGGGAAGTGAAGAGTCGCCTTGTTGCCTTTGTAATACTATTTTATCTGAATCAGATTATTTTACTGCTATTTACCATGTCTGCAGTTTGGGTCGTTAATAAGACTAATGGCTCACTGGCATCTTCAGAAATAGTGACGTGATAATTTTTGAACGATGGAGCGCTTGTTGAGTGCAGTTGTTTTTTAGTCTACTTCTAAAGAATGTTATGGTAGTTCATCGGTAGCTATCCATATATTGACACATAACATGTTGTTTGAGATGTAATTTTGGCATGTAATTCATCCGTTATGAGCAAATGAAGCCGGTTTTTTTGTGCAGCGGTTGTGTGTATGCGAATTAACGTATACAGGTTTTAAGGCTACACTTCTTGCTATACATATAAGTCATTCAGCGCGTTTTCATTCGATGGACAGCTAAAAATATTCCCGAGTTATAAGGTCCTTAAAATTGAAAATCTGATACACAGGCCACCCCTTTTTGTCGAAAAGGCACAAAAGTCTATCTGACCTTTACCTTTATGTTAAAGAAAGGACCGATCGACTCAAAACTGAGACGCCTCGATTTATAGCCCAGTCTACTATTTGGGTAACCGAATTGTTACATGCTACACATAAATGCAAGTTGAGTCTTAAATTATGTGTTCGACACATGTGCTCGTTACATTCAGTTCCGCTGCTGCATTCTTTAGCTTTCACATTGGTTTACCTTACCCCTATTTCTTTTTCCGATATCAGCAAATTGTAATATTGTTTATTGCGGGTGTAATTTCTGTTTAAAACTTCGCAGTTTGACTGAAACGTACATACGATCGTCCGACGCCATGTAAGCTGCTGTGCTTTATGTCCTGAAGACCTGAAGAAGGTCGCATTGTACATAACTTTCCTACAAATTTCTTAATTAAAGACGATTTAACTCCATGTAAGTATTCCGTGTAAGATTTATTTTTGTAGAGGCGCTATTTTGTCATAATATTTAAGGTAAAAGGAACTTGTGCAAAGTGCCCCTAAAAAAATAATGAGTTTTTAAGCAATTTGGCAAGATTTATGACTTGAGTTTTTCAACAGACAGAAAAAGGTTATGTATGTAAATTTTAAACAAATGAACGGTGCATCAAGGTTGTGTATGAGAAGCGTTAAGGCAATGCTTTGTTGAAGGGAACTGCCTTGTTGTAAAGGTGTCACGTACGTTTGCCAGGTGCAGTAAGAATGGCGCACTGAAGGTCAATCAGAAAAACAACGGATGGTTCATGAAATGTGAACATGTTTTGGATTTCGTAGGCTGTTCGCCGTGACAATCTTTCGTGAACTTTCTAGTGAGCTATTCAAATGCCCGAAGACTCTATGCAAATCACTGAAGCTCACCACCATACAATGGATATGTTGGTTTGAAGCCAGTTTGATACTTCGTTTGCTTAGTAATATGGTTTTGCAGCGTTTGTGTACTTCAATATGTAGACGACCTACTAGCAGTAAAATTTTCTTAAAATCTATAGTGTGGTACCCCACAGCTGATTTTGATTTCTTTAATTTACTTAATACCAGCTGCGACTTTCTTTCAAAGTTGAACATGTAAATCCGTGCAGTTTAAGAGCTGTTATTATGTTGCGTGTGTTTTGTGAAAAAAATATTTTCAAATTCTCATAATTTTTAAAAGCCAATGTTATTATTTTGTTGTGTATGTGTAAATACAATGAACGGATATTCTGTGTATATATATAACAGCAAGCAAGATTTGTACAAAAGTACATATAGAAAGCGGTGATTCAATCGTTCATTTGTCGGTTTTTTTTTGAGGAGAAGTAAAAATAGGCTGTAAACGTTAAGGCGCACTACGCAATTTACAATATCATTCTTCTAAATTGCATGGCACACTGATTGCCTTAGACTGCTATTTGACAGTGTTGTGGCGGTGAAAATACCGAAGCTGATCATGCGCAGGTCCACTGAAATCGTCAAATTTTGTTTATAGATATGTACAAAGAATAATAATCCCCGAAATAGAACGCAACAATATAGTCGTAACAGATAAGTCATTTATTTTCAATAACCACTAGTTATCTGGTATAGAAGTAAGGTTTTAACATATTTTAGATAAGATTTTCCTCATCGTGCATTAGTATGCCCTTTTTATGTTAGGACATGAGATTATTATCAGTATTTGCGCGACCTACGAAGATCAAGTAATGCAATAACATCTACAAATCCTAGTAAAATTTCATCGGCAGCTAGAATATAAGCAAAATGTGAACTGTGTCTTCGAGTTTTAGCATCAAGAAAGTATTTTAATTTACTCTGGAAGACCCCCAGTGCTCTTTTTTGCAAGAAAATCTGCACTAGTGTGCCTAGTGTGTGTTAAAAAGTAACCCAAATAGATACCAATATTATAATTGACTAAGTGAAACATTCGTCGATATTTTCGTGATAAAAGCAGCTCTGACTTACGAATAACGGCTTCGTGTACAACTCGCAGTGCTTATTTTTTAGGTTTGAAAGCGGTAGTTCATGTATACAAGACACAGTAGGTTGTATATGGGAATACTGTAGATTATAGAATAATCGTCCTCATCATGTGTCCATAATCTTTATCGATGTGTATCCGGTGCCGGAGCGTCACAGTAAAAAGTAATTCGATCGGAGCATTGACTCACAAGTATCGAGCGCTTCATATTGGAAATAACTGAAATGGCAAGTAGTGCTGCGAGCAAGTGTGCGTAATCATATAAATCTATTTGTGTTGTATGAAGTATGTGGCAACTAGTGGAAATCATCGAATACGAGGTCGAACAAAAGGAACTCTATTTTGTTCAAGATGGTGATGATCAGGCGTCCGGTTTTGCTTCCGTCAGTAATGAAAATTGCGTAACGTCTCGTTGTTGCTATAATACACTGAAATGGAATCCTTGTATTAGCACAGTATGCAACAAGGAACATGTAGGGCTGGATTATGAGTCAACCAAGGAAGACGGTTCGATCAGCTGCGTTAAAGACCTTCAATGGAGACCCAGGAAGAGGTATACGAGTAACAGAGGAAACAAATTATACTATTGGTTTCATCCCTTTTAATCTGAGATCAACACTATACAAGCAGAAGATCAGAAATACCTATTAACCACAAATTTACTAACCAAGTTTAAGCGGTAGAAGTTCACAATCTAAGTCTGCCGACCCACGGATCTACCTTCTAAATCCTTCATAGTGTAATGTTATTGACACTACATCATTTAAACTCCATGAAACTAAACCAGGTCCAAATTATATCACTTTTTATCGCTGAATCTCTACCTTTTAGTAGCACAAACACAAAAAGTATAAAAAACACCCATGTGCAATCCTTATTGTCTCATGTCGAGGCACAAACTTGAGGATGTTAATGCGTTTTATAGCCATAGCTTACAAAGAAGTTTTACTCAACTATGTCCATTTGAAACAATGAAATCTACGCAGTTTAAAAAGAGTAACAATAGATGTTGGTCTTTGCACCTAAATAAACGAGTTTAGAGGTTGTACCAGGATTGAAAGTGAAACATGTCATTAATAGTCAAACAAGGTTTTACTGTAAAAACGATGTTAAAGGAATATAAAATACTTAACTAGCAAGTATACTGCTGGGAAAATTATGTGAAAGTGAAAATCGCTGGCGCCCAGAGGGTAAAGTCCGAAAACTTTTGGTTGAATACGAATGTATTTTTGTTGGACATGAAAAACCTGAACGTGCGAGTAATTCCCTAATGCAGAGAAGTTTACCAGAGAGATTGCGGCTTCTGTTTTTAGTGATTCGTGATTGTACAAATGGACTACTTCGACAGCAGCGAAGTCATATACGCAGGCGATATATTTGAAGAGAGGAACGAGCTGAACAAAAGCCGATACGATAGCGAATCTCCTTGTGCTTAAACCTTTGCGAAATTCAAATGTCGGAAGATAAACTTGTGCTCGAGTAACTATTTGTATTGCAAGACGTGCCTCTCAGAAATATTTTACATATAATATTTTCACCAATGCTTCCTTTGAAATGTACCTTCATACTTTCGTGTTAAAAAATCGCTAATTGCAGTAATATCCATTAATTTTTTACTGTTAGATTATGGACGCTGGTAAATTCAGTGTAACATGCACATTTTTTTCCGCGTGTCCCAAAAACCTATATTGTGTCAACTACCTGTTTTTATGTCCATTTAAATCCATTATACCATATATTTACACATTTTAAAAATTCGTAAGCACGTGACCACGTATCGATTTAATTAGTTAATAGTGTATCTGTATGCCTATACCGTTTTCTACTGCGGGCAATAGTTATGGTCACTAAATTCCTGATAACAAATGATGTCCAAGGTGTATGCCGAATTATTGTGTAATAAGGTGCTTTTGCGCTTCTCTCGAATCTTTTTTCAGCCAATTTTCTCAAAAATACATGCTTTCAAATATTTAATTAAAAGATATTATGAAATAATTGGGTCGAATAGGCCATATGGCATGAAGCCCGCTAAGATATATTTGGTTAATAGCGAAGGCGCAATTTGGTCCACACGTCCGTGGAAGTCGTGACAAGGCCTGCCTCTTGGTAAAACAAGTTATGGTTTGTGTTTCTAAGAGAGTTCGCGAGTCATGTCAAATAAGCTTCGTTAGGAGGGCCGCCTTCGCGTCGATGCATCCGCAGCGGGTTGTCCCTTGCCCAAAGAAGCTAGGGACTGAACTGCTGCAGTCACGCGTAGGTGCCGAAGAAGCCAGCAAAGCGGATATAGCTAGCTAATTTAGTAACATAATGTAATCCTGTTAAATTCATAAAGGCATAGATACGACCTTGAAGGCAATAAACAACTATCACTTCTAAGTACAGTCAAAGCTGCAAGACAAAATGTTATTTTGAATTCAGGTGTGATGATACAGTTTCTTTGCTAATAGAATTATAATATATACGTGAATGGGCCGGTGAGTGAAGCACGAAACTGTTTGGCTTTAAAAGCGCCGATATACTGGCTCATATAATTTTAATTTTTTAATAATTTAATAAAAATAATAAATCTAAAAAGAGGAGACAAAAACGACGTACGGGTTTACGAATCTTCAAACGTGCTTGTGATTAGGAATGAAATGCGTGCCACTAAAGGTTTTCGGGAATATACTATAATTAATAAGAAAAATTAGATACTGTGTGGTACGGAACTTCAGTCACCATTCTTATATGATGTGCACCTTGTTAGAGGAATTTAGGTTGAATATGCTCACGGTTGTTGATTCTTTGCGTAAGTGAATCCTAGCTGATGTTTGCTGTTGAGTTGTGGCCGATTGTCTTGCGAATGTTGGAGCCCTGGAGGTGAGAAACTACATTTTCTGTTCCATACAAGACAAATTAAAAGTGAAAGTAAGTATTATTGGAATTAAAAAAAGGTCAAAATATGGGCTGTCGACAACAAAAAGCAAATAAATACATACATCGCTTTGTTAAGCTTGCCGTAAGTCCGAAGTAGTTAATAATAGTAAATCTGCCTTTGAAAAAGCACACGTAGATTCTACCTAGATGCTGATGTTTTACATATGGAGGGACTTCACATATGAGGTATTCTTAGATATTATCTGCTAATATTATATGCCGTGCATTATTAGAGAAGAGTTACGCAGTACCTAAACAACAGTCTAGTTACAATTAAGCTGAAGTTCCTTAACCCATTTATGGTGTTACTAGTAGACTCTTATAGTGTATAATTAGGGTACATTTTGTCGGCAAAATTTGATTAGAAGTACGTTCTGCGCAGCATGACAACACCCACAACAGACAAAATTTCAAGTCACAGAAGCCATGGTCTGAGTACAGTACAAGCTTTAGCACGAGAAAACCTCTGCGGTAGACACTGTTCGTTCCGGTCAAAGTCAACACGCAAATATCAAAAATACGAGGTTATAACCTATTTTCGTACGTGTTTAACCTATAGAAATTAATATAATTTGTGTACCAGCGGTATTATTTTGATCGCTTGGTTTCTTTATTTGGTACTTATGATTGTCGATATAGGATTTAGATGTAGTTGTGTTTTTATTTGCAGGATCAAGATTTACAAAAACTAAAATTAGGGTTGCATCTCAAGAAACGCCGCCTTTCCAGGATATAGATAGAGACTATAAAGGTGTGGTAGAGTTAAACTAAGAACATATAGCACATTCTTCATAAATATAGCACTGCGCATACTTAGACAAATTCAAACTGACGAAAACCGCACAAACGTTTTGATCGCTAAGGGAAAACCACTGCGCAGTAACATTTGATTCCTCCAGTATATTAGAATAAGTGTAACTGAATAATCTTTAATAGAATCAGTGATAATTAGAGGAAAATTTTCGCAGATGACTCATTGTGGGGGTTGTCAAATTTATTTGTACTTAATTGTTAAGTAAACTACCGAATCGAAAAGAAAAACTCCATGCTATTTATTGCACTCTATGCAACGCAGGAAGAAGTCTATAAAGATAAGATGCTTTACGTGTCTGCTATAAAAATTGGAAAGCGGCATGAGAACGAACAGAAAATGGCGTTACAGGTTTTGTGGAAAATGTTATTTTAAAAGAATGAAAGAAATGTGTATATCAATGACCCTACTTTTGAAGTAAGTTTCCATTGATTTTTTCCCAAGCTCACTAAAAGTTTCCTAATATTTTTGTCTCCATTTTTCTAAACCTTATTACCTGAGAAAATAGGGCTGAAAAGGACTAAGCATGAATATACCGAAAGCGGTAATTTATCCGTCAATTACAAATTCCCACAAATGTCAAAAAAGTAAGAACGTTTCTAAAGAAGCAAGTGTTTAGAAATGTTTCGTTGCTGTGGGAAAATAAACAAGTATTTTGAAGTTATCGTTGAAAATTATCAATTTTGTATGCGAAATTACCTTCTTTTTAGCTCTGTTAGAAGTACCCTAATTACATTTCAATGCATTTTGTTTTTAATCATTTCAGTGGTGGCGGAGTCGTTGGAACAAAATCTAATGGCTCTTTTCATATTGGTCCTCCTTCAAGCGGAGTCGGCGGAGGTTCGGGGGGCTCAGCAGGATCCGCAGGGGAAAGTGATGCATCGTCAGATGAGAATGGCGATGCCGGGGCATTGAATGAGGCTGAAGAGGAGGCCGAGGATGAAGAGCAGGAAGATTCAAAAGACTACTGCAAAGGTTACACCCTACGTTTTTATCATCATAACCCCATCGTTTGCACAGGCAAATTTAGTGCTGAACTACTGTTTATGGCAGTAGTAATATTTGTACCAGGATTTGTTTTTTTGGGTACTTATACCCAACCAGGCGTACTTCCATAATGTTATTTCGCTATAATGCAATGTCATTCTGTGCGCCATTCTACGAAATTATTGCTGTCATCGTCAGTCAAGAAATTATTCATTCAGCTAAAACAAGCAATTCACAATAATTAAATTATTTTGCAAATAACTCTAGTATAAGAGGTGTTATTATATTTAAATAGTAGGCTTTACAGCATCGCGTCAATATTCTTAGTGCCACTCTTGAGTGCTTTAGAGGCAGTTACCTCTAGCATTAATATTAGGTCTCAAAGAGAATCGCGTTGCAAACGGTCAACAATTTTAACTTATTATCTCAAATAAATCACTGTATGCAAGGGTTGATATAATTACGCGTTTGTTTAAGTTTTCATAGGATTTAACACGTTCATAATTATATAACGTTCAAAAATATATTATTTACAAAATCTACTTTTTGCCACTAAAGTGACTTCTAAGTTATACAGTGGGGTAAAGCTACGTGGTATTTGAGACTTACATAAACAAGGACTACAAAGTTTTATCAATAAATAACTCACAAAAGCACTTATGGTATTTCAGAGTGAATAAAACTTTCTCGAGATCTACAAATGGTAAACGAAATATAAAAAACATAACCTATTAATTAATGCGCTCGAGTTAATATTACAAAATGTAATAAAAAAAATAACTCTCAGATTGTTTAAGTCGGCTGGCTGGATAATGTTTTTGAAACCGGGATAATTAATTGCACGGGGAGGAGACTAGCAAGGCAGACTGCCCTGACCAAGTAGAAACTGTCTCGGCAGTGATATTTGTTTGCGGATTTAGAGCCAACCGCTATATTTGTTGTTGATTCACTTCGAAACCTTCGGCGTGTTTACCAAACTTACCAAATAAGGAATTGGAGTGCTTAAATAGGCAGTATCCTGCTCTTTACACCCTCAACACCGGGAGCGAGAAAAAAAAACAAATAAGTAGTGTTTATAATTACTTATAGGGAAGAGCTATCACTAAATACTCACAGTTTGTTTGATACTCACACACAAATTTGAATATCAAGCCATGATTTTATGCGTCTGGGATGAGGCAATATTTCAAGTGTGAGTTGCTGTCTGCCTGAGTGGTTAACATATGTACTGGATAGTTGGTTAATTCGTGTGACCCATGGGGATTACCCATCGTTATACTCTTCGTTTCTAAAACCCAGGATATTTATTCGACACTTGTGTTGCAGAGATTAAATCAAATAAGTAGTACGCTGATGTAATATGATTTATTTCGCTACAAAGAGACGCTAAACCGTTGAAACCGTTCTAATGAAATTTTTGATCTATTTACCTATGCAACTCAAATTGATTTTATACTCCTTTCGGTAAAATCGAGGTTAGAAAAGCATTTCAAATTACTGAAGCCACGAGCAGAGGAGCCATGCTACATGAAGGGGAATTGTAAATAATAACAATTTCGGTAATTTTATGCGGCCTAATAAAACTACCACGAGTCGCTTAACTGTATAATCAGGTAATGAATTGTTCTATAATTTTTAACCTACTTCAGCATTTCGTGGTGAATCCTACGCTAATCGCTTCAATGTGCCAATGATTTATTATTTAATTACCTTCCGAAGCTTGACCTTACCTGCTTTGGCAATATATAAGCAAGACTTCACGTGTCTATCACATGACTGCAAGGACCTCAGGTGTCAAAAATTTAAACTGATTGGCTTTCCAGTAAATCTATTTTTGTTTAATTTATAAGTCCACGAGCTATATTAGCATTGAGTGTATAGTCAAGTATTATTTGGAAGATGATTTCGCTACTTCATTTATGTTTCACCAGTCTGAAATGAAGTCCATTGCCCTCCTTAGGGTTATATGAGACCCAAGCATGCGAATTAAAGTGTGAATCATAAAGCAGTTATTTCGTATGGAACAAGAGGTGTTATACAAAATGGTCCCTCCGAGATCATACGCTAAATGTGTGAAGAATGTACAAATAATCTATATTTCTGTTTTTCTTTTTCGACTTATAGCTCTACTAAATATTATCCTATTAAAAAACCTGAGGTTTCAACGTTTTTAAACGATAATCTTGAGATACACCTCATTAATATATAGGGCCAAACATGTGTGACTGACTTTGTAAATGATGAAATTTTCTTTAACATTTAAAGCTCGGACATTTCCACCTGAACAATTTCCGTTAGATCATTTGATTTAATTGCATAAAGCTGCGGAACTTTGGTCGGTAGACATAACAGGTTCCTTGCGAGAGATAGTTTCAAACTGTAGACTTACGTAAATTTCATATGTGATTAACGGTATAATAGCTATAAGCAAAGCGTTTAGAGGAGTTACTGAATTGGTCCTTATTAGGAACGGACTCTGATAGAAGTCTCAATTAAGAACAAATTTGAGATCTAACATAATCAACCAATAATTAATAATCAATTAATAACTAAATCGAATACAACATCAATAGTAATTAAAAAATACTGATGTACTAATCAGTAATTTACTTCGTTGCTTGCTTTATAATTCCTTCTTTTTGGCGCGTAATTTAAGCTGAATGTATTCCATTAATTTGTTTGACATTTGCAGGCGGCTACCACTATGTGTGCATTGCCGACGTATTTCAAGGCCGGTATCACGTGATTCGCAAACTAGGATGGGGCCATTTCTCTACCGTATGGCTTTGCTGGGACTTCCAAGATAAAAGGTTGGTTTGCTTGTTGTTTGTTTCCAGACATTCAACTTAGTGCATATATCAGGTTGGAACAAAGGTTACCGCTTTTTTTACTAAAGAAAAAAACATATTTTTCTATTCATGTAACAGTTAAGTTATGTATCCTTTGCCATTACTCACTGCTTGCTTCAAAAATGTTTTGAGATTCCCCCAGGTTTCGGATATCGTTTTCAAATTTGGCAAACCATTCTTGAGCAGTTCTTTTAGCGTTAGTGTCGTTTTTCCGGGGCTGTTTCGATAGCATTTTATAGAAATGCATAGTACAGAAGGGGTCCGAAATTTCGTTTTCTTCCACCCTGAACCTTTGAATTTTTTCAAGTTCAAATTGCACTCACAAAAAGAGCGTTGTAACAACGTGATAGAGCAGGAAGAAGAGTGTCAAAAATGAACGACGAACGAAAGGGAAGACGGAAAAGAAAGTTTTTTCTGAGAAAACGTAGGAACATTCTTTCTAGCCAAATATTGAGTAGTAAGAAAGATGACTGTTTTCCTAACTAAATGGCTTTAGCCTCATATCTCAGGTAATATGGGTCTCGCACTAAGATTATTGTAATGCTTTTAAAAACGTGTTTATTTTACAAACTTAATACGAGGAAGGTACAAATTCTTCTCGCATTATTAGAAAATTTTTTGCTGTTCATAGTCAGGATGCGTTACTGTAAGGAATAACCCAAAAATAGTTCTGTCTCTCTTATTCTGGAAATTTCGATGTAAAAGATGTTCTTCGTAGTGATGGATCATTTACAAAAAGAAGAGATGAAAGTACTGTGAAACTTACCGAAAAACGTGAGAAACCGTAAAATCACCCAGGAACCAAGAATCTACCACTAAACAGTGTTAAACCATTTGAAGGAAGTTGGCTACAAAAAAGCTCATTATTTAAATATCATACGAAATGACCAGTGATTAAAGGACAACCTCAAGGACGCATACGATTAGTAGGGTATTTTAGTTATAGTTTTAAACGTTTATCACGTTGGAACTAAAAGAGTAAAAATAATTGTTTTTTTAGTGTCACATTCAATGTATACCCTTTATTACTTGCATACCGAAGCCAGCCTTCCGAAAAGGCTCTATAACCATGTAAGCTACCATATAATTTGTTATTTATTACTTCTTACCGCACATCTGTATTGTGATGCTCTAGCTTTTTGTTGCTTTTATGCACTAAGAGCATCAAAAGTTTCCCGAAGTGGAATTAAAGTGACCACTCGATATTGGAGTTCTCGACTCTAACAATCATTGCACCAGTTCGATAACTTCCACTGCCATAACTTAGTCATACCTTATATTATCAGTTGCTGTGCTACCTTCTCCAGTAATTTTGAAGATCAAGCAAAATTGATTGTCGCCTTTCCGCTAATATTCTATTATAGACTTGCTTTATTACTAATAAAAATTATGACGAATATATTATACTCGAACCTCTCTGAGTATAGTAAAGTTTTCATTTAGGAAATAAAGAATATGGATGTCGGGATAACGCAAAGTTTTTTTTCCTGCTTGTAGGTATTCACTTATTCGCCAATGACTTTACCTGTGCGCAAATTATAATAATGTGTTTGTGACCATACGTCTGCTTTTATCAGTAAGCCAATCTTTACTGACAGAGCGAACGGTGATCTTCGAAAGCGGAGAGTAAGAATTCTGAAAATAGAAAATTTCTAAAAATGTCTGAATAAATTACCTAGATGAAGTATCAAAAATACAGAAAATACGCTTTAAAAATGCTTACACATGCTTTATGACTAGTAGTGTCGAAGGAAATTATGTAAAGTTCTACTGGGAACACATCACCAGATTAGTATGGTAAAATATAGACTAAAAATGTTTAAAGCACTCAGATCAGTTAAAAACTATGAATTCTTAAAAAAAAAGTAAAAGCATTGTTGCATACAATTCAGGGATCCACTGAATGAGATCGGTTTCAAAAACCTATCTCATAAATGTGTGAGAGTGTAAGCATGCTGTATTAGCGAATTATATATTATTGATTGGGACTGGCACAAAAAAGCTAGGATTTCCAAAGTTGTATATATTGCTGAAGCAATGGTTAGTGGTAGTGCTGGAGATAAAACGCAAGACATTTATTCTTTTAGCATATCTTTCTACAGTTTACAGCTGCAATAGGTTATTTAAGTGAAGATGCTGTTAACACAGTAAAATGACGAGAATCCTGGATGGACCAGACAGTCGGCTCTAAAGCTGTGTTTGGAGCTGTGTTTTATAAACAATGCGTCTCATACTACACAATGACGTTAATGCCTAAGCAGTAAAAGCAGAAGCCGCTTAATTGTAATTTTTCTTTCACTAAATTTATTTTGCGCGATTTCTCGCCATATATATATATATATATATATATAGTTTAGTCAGTCTTATAATAAATCGCACCGTCGTGTGTTTACCGTTCAGAAAGAGGGTACACTTTTTAGCGTCTTTTTTTGGAGATAAGAATTACCATTAATATGAATCATTCTTTTGCAATGTTATTCTCGTACAGGTTCGTTGCTCTGAAAGTTGTAAAAAGTGCGCCACATTACACAGAAACTGCCGTTGATGAAATCCGTCTTCTTCGTTGCGTACGCGAAAGTGACGAAGCTGATCGTGCTCGACATTCAGTGGTGCAACTTCTTGACGATTTCAAAATCGAGGGCGCAAATGGCACCCATGTATGCATGGTCTTTGAAGTGCTGGGACACAATCTGCTCAAGCTTATTATTCGGTCCAATTATCAGGGAATACCGATTAACAACGTGAAGATCATCATGCGACAAGTGAGTCTCACGTTTTGGCAGAGTTTTATGAGTATAGTCAAAAAAAAAATCTCATTAACTCCTGCCGTTGCTGTATCAATATTTAATTTTAGGGTACAATCAGAGAAACGCTGCCAGTACCAGCGTGTATATTAGTTTAAATCTTACTCAATGCACTCACTATCAACACCTGGAAATTACTGGTCGTAAGAGTTCAGTCTTCCGCAGATTTTCGTAAAGTCCCTCAAATGACACATAGCTGCAGCGACAGAAGCGCTGTGACGGCACGTACTCCGTTGTATACACACTAATTAAATACCATTGGATCCCATGCGTGTTGAGAATACCTTGGTGAATGAATTTCTTCACGGATCCTCCTTAGCTGTCTCGCTTCGTAGCCCGCTTGAGCGCAATGTCGTTTAGTATTCGTTTATAGATGAGTATGTCATGCGTCTATATAAAAGACTGGATAAGATTAGGCATCTTGGGGGGTATAGTGAAAGAGTGGGATCATTTAAATAAATATCGATGCATTTGTATTTTATATTTTATTTAATTTGTTTAGGAAAACGTAGCATGTGTTTTGTAAATAATCGTTTCATTACTTTGCGTCAATTTTGTGTGTCGTGTCACTTTTATTCCAGGTGCTGGAGGGTTTGGACTATCTCCACCGAAAGTGTCACATAATTCACACGGACATAAAACCAGAAAATATTCTTGTCTGTGTCAACGAAACCTACATTCGGCGGTACGTTGCATTCATATCGTGGGTGAAATACTAATTACTGGTATTCTCGACTGCCATTGGATGGGTATAGCAAGTGTTTAGGCAGATAAATTTTTTTATTACCTTCTCGCCAGCGGTGTTAATTCATCTTCAGTTTGATTGTACCGGAATTACAGATAGTCGGCTCTTTTTTAAAAAGTCTTTAGAAATTCTGTTCAAGTTACTGGCTTATTAGCAGTGAAAAAAACAGGAGTTGCCATGAACGCAATTAGCCGAGCGCAAGCAATAATCAGTCACGACTGTAACCAAAGCAGAGCAACAATAACAAGCAATACTCCGTATGGTGGTCAACATGAGTGGAAATAGCTGTTCAATCTCGTGCGAGACAAACGTTTCTCCCAAAGCGACTTGGCTAGTGGTAAAATTTCGCACAGGCTTGGTAACAAGAGAATTCTATCTAGAAGCGTTTCTTCTCCGTCGTTCATAAACAGAATAAACAGAATTCACTTAGCCTAAGAATCAATAAGACTGGCCGATAAATATAGCACGGCGTAATAAATTAACTTTATAATACAATTGTTCTGATTGTCAATGGGAGAAGATACATTTGATACTCTGCTTCTATTTCATGTCCTATGACCAGAATAGAATACTTTTTTGTTTTTCACTGAAAAGTTTTCGAAAACAAGAAAGTAATTCTCTAAAACATCAATTTCCATTTTTTCTTTTTTTTTTTAAAGAAAAAAAATCAAGCTTCTCAATAGTGTTTTTGTACCATAAGCGTTTAACAGAGTTAACACCTTTTTAGTGGAGGTAATGAATCTTCGAGTTTACATCGTGCTTGCAGTGACAACTAGGGAAATAAGTATAGTATAAAACTCAAAAATTGTGTTACTCCTAACACTTTGGACGTCGGAGGATACTTACTCTTAACAGTACTTGCTCTGAGAGCAACGTGACCTGGTGCAAAGAAGAAGAAGAACTTAAGCTACTTCTCAGACGTATATGGCGGAAAGCCATTAAGCAGGAAATACCTTTATTTTAATAATATTAGGTGGTCAAAAAGTATTGACGGTTTTAAAGCAAAATTGAAGCAGTTTTTTTTTCTAATTTTTGAGAACAATACTATTAGTCTAATTAAGCGTCATTTTGATCGATGACCTTTTGCTATATTTGTGGTAACACCGTCATTTCATCACTGTAGAATTTGTGTAGTTGCTGGCGAAAAATGATAACAAGCGATTTTTGAATGCCTTCATTGAAACTAAATTAACACCGTTAGGGAAGTTCTGCAGAAGCCGAAATACATCATAGTCAGATGGTGTAAAACTCGGGCTATACAGCGAATGCATGAAGGCTTTCCATCCAAATTCTCTTTCCTTGCCTGGTAGCGAAATATGTACGCAGTCTGTTATTGTAACGGTAGAAAACGACGCTTCCTCCGTTCACTGGTTCCGACCATTTTGTCAATATTGTATAACAATATTCTTATTCATTAGCAGTAAAAATCCAAATAAATTATTTTACGAAGCAGCTGTAGCTTACAATGCACGATTCCTTTCCAATTCCAACAAACACAACATCGCCTTCTTCAGCGTCTTTTCGGGTTTCGCCACAGATTGTAGACCTTTTCTTGCTTTGACCATGATCTGTTTCGCACATTGTTGTAATATCCGGCTAACTCTTCATCGCCCGTAATCAACCGGTTTAGAAAAGGTTCGATCGCGTTGCGTTTCTATAGAGCTACACAGATTCTTTTGCGTTAATTTGCATGGAACGTCGAGCTTGTCTTTGTGGCCAGTTTTCTTTAAAGTAGTCAAAACTGTTTGATGGTGCATGCTTAGTTTTAGTCCCAGCTCAACCTAGTTCAAATTTTGCAGTGCCTGTATCATTCTTTTTTATAAACAACTGACTACCACAAGAAGCTGTCACGTCGGGATTCCTAGAATTAATGAGACAGAATCATTTTTAGACCGCTTGCGCTGATAACACATCCTGACTAAAACAGCACACATTTTTCTGGGCATCATTTATGCTTTCATTGCAAAATATAGCGAATTTCTGCATAAATTCCTTTTTATATTCTTTTGTCCTCAATTTGTCTTCAAAGAGCTCGATCCTAAGTAGATCTGTTACAATTGCTGGAGAGCCTTTGTTCAAACGAATTCCATCAATTTTCCTGTAGTACGTGAGATATGAAAAACCGTGAATACATTTTCGACCATCCAATAAAACAGTGGCACACAAAACATTTTCATTGGATTTAAAATACGAGGTAACGTTCGAATGCGAGCCACTTTTGATTCTGTGATCAATCGATTTATGACACCGATACGCGGTAGAGTATCGGTGGCAAAAGCAAGTAACCTTTTTATTCCAACTTTTAAAGTTTTTCAATTCGAACTACACAATGGGCGAAATCTATAACATTTGCTGAACTTATTTCACGTCCGTTACGACGTTAATTACATAAGTACGCTTTCAGTTGCCTAAAATTTTATAATAATAGTTCGCGCCAACTTTACCTTGCAGGTTGGCATACGAGGCCACTCAGTGGCAAAAGATGGGCTTACGTTTACCGCCGTCGCTAATTTGTACAGCCCCCCAAGATATAGCACAGATGCGTATGTTAACAGCTAATGGGGAAAAAATCTCAAAAAATAAGAAAAAACAGCTACGCAAGAAAGCCAAAAAGAACCAGGAGCGTATTGAAAAGGATATGGCTAGACTGCAACGAATGGACCATAAGCAAGCTGAAGCCGATGATGATACAATGAATCCAGTGAGCGACGAATTAGGAGAAGCTGGCGGAACGCTGCACGGTCCGCACGGCATGCACGCAGCCAACGGAACACTAATCATGCCAAAAAGTTCAGAGCATGAACAGGATCTCAAGCGAAAAGAGCTGCAGTATATGGTGATGCAGGAGGCATCCGGTTGGGCAGAGGGTAAAGAACCTGGCTGGTGGGAACGACATCCTGAGGACAAACGTAGTTGCAGAGAAATAAGTAATTCTGGCGAAAATTCTTCGTTGCCCACTATTGACGCTATGGATGTATCTCCGCCACCTCCGAAGTCACCGAAAGGGGGTTCCAAATCGCCCTCGCTGCTACGACCCGATGGTGATCGAAAGTTAGAACGTAGTGAGACAGTATTGCTGTCACCAGGCCGTCTGTCGACGCAAAACTCACTTATCGGCGGTGGAGGTGAGGATAGCGGCTGTCAGCAGAGGACGCTGTCGCAGGAGGCCAGCTCTCAAGTGGAACTGCGGAGAGTGGCTTCAATGCCGGAGACGCAGGCTGCAACTGCAAACGCTGGAGGAACTCAGGGGGCTCATAGTGGTGGAAGCAGCCGCTGGGGGAGTAACCGTCGATCGCTCCCGCCGCCTCAACCCGATCCTGTCCGGCAGGACTGTCCAAATCTTCAAGTGAAGATTGCTGGTACAACTAATGCATACGTTTTTATCTTCGTTTATGGATATGTTAGAGTATTCTTTGAATCCTTTTACCAGGTTATTTTAATTCAATAATTATACAACATAAGTATTTAATACAAGGCGTAGGATAATCTAGTCCAATGAGTGAGACAGTACACGAGAGTAAAAATAAACACCCCCTGTTTACAAGTCATTAATAATGATTAGCACCATAAATAAGCATGTGTTAAACATTTCTCTGTTTCATAAAGAAAGAATTTCAGAGATTCATAAAGTAAACATATAAAAAAGTAGCTAATATTATTTCTCCACTTATTTGCAGAACTTTTAGGACAGCATCCTAACAACCATATTTTAAATTTGACTGGTTTCGTAGGTGATTGAATGATATTTACCGCGATTAAGTTTGGATTGAGTTACAGATTATATTTGCCGAATACAGCTATTTAGGTAAATTCGATACTTTTCCTAAGGGTATATCACCTGTCTGTGCCTTTACTTTAAGATCTGGGCAACGCTTGTTGGACTCATCACCATTTCACGGAGGACATACAAACTAGACAGTACCGATCCCCGGAAGTTCTGCTCGGGGCTGGTTACGGTACTGCGGCAGATCTATGGTCAACGGCGTGCATGGCTTTTGAATTGGCTACAGGAGACTATCTCTTTGAGCCTCATTCTGGACCGGACTACTCCCGTGACGAAGACCATCTCGCACACGTCATTGAGCTGTTAGGAGAGATTCCTCGTCAAATAGCTTTCTCCGGTATATACTCCTTACATTTGATTATTCAAATGTTGCCTTTTTCGTTTCTAATTGACGTTTAGTCAGGATGCAGGTTAAATAATTCTAGTCTCTAATACGCCGTTTATCTTACTGCTATTCTTCTATAGGCAAATACTCCCGCGAGTTCTTCAATAAGAAGGGTCAGCTGCGACATATCACTAAGCTGAAGCCGTGGGGTCTAACCGAAGTACTCACCGAAAAGTATGATTGGTCCCATGAGGATGCTCGGGCATTTGCCGATTTTCTAGAACCAATGCTTGACTATGACGTGAACAGAAGGGTAACCGCACAGCAAGCTCTGCAACATCCCTGGCTGCAGCTTTCTTAAACCTATATCCGCTGAAGGAGTTCTTTTCAAAAATCTGTGAGGCCTCTGGACCAGTTCGAGCCAGAAGATAGAAAGCGATATGCGGTAAACTGGGGCGCTGAAACGGATTACCTAAAAGTAAGACACCAAAGCGTGGTAGGTGTTCCTTATACTTAAAAACAAGCGAGATTGGAAGATGGCTTGGTATGAATTTATCGATTACCGCTATGTAGGGAGATGTTACTGCAAACAGCGCATATAATGGACCGATACGGGGCAAATGCCTGTACGTCATTCGATTAATGGATGCCGGTGTGTCGGCACCGTAAATGGGAATACAATGAACGACTAGTTGCCGGTGTTTGTGATAGCGAAGTTGATGAAAGCTAAATTGACTGAAGAAAGAAGCAGAGCTGTCAGCAGGATTTGAGCACTCATAGTGGACCATCATGGACCAAGCGAAAAAGCAAGGATGATCGAGAAAAACGAAAAGACCGAAGTATATAATATTAGAAGGTCAGCCAGTCGTGGTAATATACTATTGTTAGTCTTAGTATTCTGCTAAGGAGGGGAACGAGGACGATGATAACTATTAGTGTTATTATTTTTAAATAGCGACCGTAGATTAAGACAACCAATTAGCACGGAAAACAAAAGGAAGTAGATAGGTGATAGCCGAAAATAACGTACCCAGTGGAGTAGGGAGTTTTCTAGATATACGAGAACGTAACAAACACGAACAATTAATTTAGTAAAATAATATGAATACTTCAATATACCAATTATATTTATTGCTGTTTGGTTTCAAGCAAAATACGGAAAGCGGAACGGAAGATTATAACATATAGCCACCTATATGTTAGGAAAAGTAGAAAAAATCACTGTGCGAAGATGGAAAGCTCGATATACTAGCTGATCGTGGGTGACCAGTAAACTTATTATTATTAAAATGAACCATGCCGCGAGAGTAGGGCTGGCATATATCTGTATGTGAATACATGCTATTTGTGTATACGCGCCCAGCAACCAGAAGAGTATATAATAATGGCTTGGTTTCGTCCACATATTCATCAGTGCTGGTGGTCATGTTAGAAGGGCCAACGAACATTGGTAAAGTGAGAACTAATGAAGCGGCAAACTATAGAACAGGATGTTACGTCGAGGAAGCATATTAGCAAAGAGAAATAAAGCAACAAAAAAGAACGAATTATGAGGAAGAAGAGCGGGCGTTGTAAATGAAAGGAGGATAGCTGATCCGATAATCGTTGTCGATCGAATTACAACGAACCCAAGGAAGATGATAACGAATCCGTAAAAGATGTCGTACGTTCAATTATGCATGCAAGACATGCATATGCAGACATAGTTGATCAAGAATGTTGCCGCCGCTTGTTTTATAATTTGGGTCCGCAGTATGAGATATCTAGATGCGATGTAGTTTAAACTCTGCTGAAATAATGACTATCATTTATTGCTTATCTATGGTCACAAAATTCAAGCAGGATTATGTGACGTCACGTCGTACTATAATATCGCGAATAATATTGAGATCCCTTAGCAATTCCAGATGAATCATAATAGTAGTCGTATGTGTGTGTCGGACGGCCGTTGCGTTTTTTTTCATATGTACCCAAGAATGAATATGTGACCGGAAGTGAGGACTTCAAACGACATTTCTATTAAAGACATCTAACAAATTAGGCTGAGTCGTCGGACAAGCTATAACGAATCATGCCCAAAAACAAGCGGGAGTAAGTGTCTATAAAGGTAAATCAATGCTAGCTTGAGGTGATCAAACTCATGTCTGTTTGTTTCGCCTTATGCTGATATCTTAAGGTGATAAAAATATTAGAAATCAGATCGATAAATGAAGATCCCCAAGGAAGATAGCAGCAACTGTTCTCTACTAGACATGCAAAGGCGCAGAACCACATAAAACATAAATATATTGATACCAATGGAACCAAGAAGGAAAAACTAATTGTAACATAGGACGAAATTAGTGTCTGTCGTCACCATATTGCAAGCACTGCTTTATTTGGAATGTTATTAGCAAGTCGAACATAGTGTCATGCACGTGTCGGACAATGGCGAGTGATGGCAGAAAGCAACAAACAAACAAAAACGGACAAATTATTTTGCAACCGCTACGTATCTTGCTCGCTCTTTGTGCAAAGATTTGTTTGCTTACAGCAACGTGCACAAACTAACCAACAAAAATATCAATGAAAAATCATAATTACGCCGAAATTCATATAAATAATGAACCTCTTAACCAAATTGGCAAGGGAAAGGCCAAAATGAAGGAAAAAGAGATGCAGACAGAGAGAGGAAATAAGAATGAGGGGCCTCAATTCCATTTAGTATTTAAGAAAAGTAACCACCACCAAAGGTGATTGATGCCAACTTGGGGTACAGAAAGGGATTGTGGATAACTGTAATGGGGACATAACAAAAATCGGTGGAAACATATAGACTCTGAGGAACGGTAACAGTGATTATCGGGTGTGTGTATATATACTGCTTTGTAAATCTACTATTCAAATAAAAGCACTCTCACTTAGAAAAAAATTCTTCATCTTTGTGCCTACGTGTGCTCAGTACAAAACGTAACTGTAACGATTATTTATTACATTTTTGCTTTAAATGTGCAATTGATCTTTTTATTTTCATTAATATTACTATAATCAGACTTGCCATTACTGTATGTACTTAAACGTATTCACCACACATTTTACCAGTATGCATATCACATAGATATTACTAATCAGTTTCTGTTGCCGATATTGCTAATTTTCATTAATCTTCTTACTTCACTCTAGTTTTTACTTCGCCATATATTCAAGCTATATCGATTATATTAATTATACGGTGAACATATGGTATCTCTTAAATTTTCTTAATATATAGCACTGATTGTGATCATCCTGTAACAGCGACAGCGGAAAGTGTGTAGGGATTTTAGTAGAGTACTTCTAATAAATACTAACTAAAGCTATTTAACTGTTGTTATAAAATGAAATAATAACTGTTTCTAATGGCGGTGCAGAATAGAAAGATGTTTCAAAAGTTCTACGAAGTTTAACATTTCCAATGAAATGTGTTGTATCGTATTATATATAAACGAAGATCAGCATCCACAAAACAAAAATAGTTACATCCATAGATAATTAAACAGTCCTTTCTTTACTTCTAAAAATATTAAATTTTTATTTACGTATTTTATATATATATATATACATATATATATATATATAACAAAAATGGCTAACATTACGCCATCTACGGGGTTTCTGAACTATAAAGTTCCAAAGGTCGAAATAGACTATTTTTTTAATCTCGGAGCCATATCTCGTTGTTTATCCGCCATGTGGCTACAGTGGGAGGATTAGTGCACATGTGTACTCTGTCTCTAATGCTTTCAGCGCTCGTCTATAGGATTAGAAAGTTAATTCATTAGGAGGTTCTCTTTACTTTTTAATCTTCTTAATCTAATTTTTAACTTTTGAACAAGTAAAGACATCTTAGTCAACGTAGTCCTTCGCCTGTCTTTTTGAGAACTGACGCATTTCGCGAAGTGTTAGCCTTACTGGCTATGCTGAATTGTCGAAAGAAGTAATAATTAGATGGAATGACGTTCCGTGAGCGTTCACTATGTACCAATGCGGTGTGCGGTACAGTAATGTCATTATCATTGACGTCGTCCTTTGCTAGTCCAAGGCCTTCTTGTATCAATTTTGTGGGTCAAAAATATGAAACTGTTAGCACAGCGATTTCCTGTAACTCTGTCCTGAGGTTTGATTAGCTCATAACCTAATACTCCCGTATCATCTCACTATATACAAAAGGCGCAGCCTTTGACCATGAATTCAGGCTTGCATTTTATAAAAGTAAAAAAATCAGTCCTCAATTGCCGGTGACAATCTTGTCTAAAAATTACTTTTTTCTTACAAGTAGCAAAAGGCATTTTGTTTGACGTTTTTTTATTACACCGCCGAGTTCATGGGGGTTTACTTCCCTTCCTTTTTTTTTCAATCTTTGTTATGTATGGGAAAAATCGGCAACAGTTCCCTGGAGTACTTCTAGCTATATAGAGAGCTATCGGGTGGATTGCACCCCATTTTCCACAAGTAGTATTTGCAGCTCGTCATTGGCTTTCTGGAGCATGGGTTGTCGTTCAATTGAAATTAACGATTTTGAAGCCTAAAGCGAACGTGCAGTAAACGTTCGTTTTAGGCTTCAAAATTTCTTGTTTTGCCTTGGCAACGTTTTTCCCAGTGCGAAAATAGTGAAAACAATGCCAAATCAGCATTTTTTGGAGCCCCATGATTGAAGGTACTGGATCACCACTTCTTCAACGACAAAAACTCAATTAACGCAACAAGATACACGCCCGCCAAACGACAGTTAAAAATCATACTGGGAAGTGTTAACCAGATACAATCGACCGATCCTACGTTAGCGCCATATCTTGACTCCGACGGAAACTTTCTAATCAACCTAATACATTTTCCATCACTCTATATACATCGCACCACTCACATCAGCTTTTCAATGTAAAAGAATGAAAGGCCCTCCATGTCGGTCATTCATGAATATCAACATGTGCCAGGTTGTACCTGATTAACCACAGTTCCAAAGAATAACATGGTTTCTATGTAGTTACTGCAATCCCTCCTCATCGACAACTTCAATAGACGCAGCTTATTTCTACTGTTTCTGTTTTCAGTTTCAGGATCCGGTCTAAGTTACAGGCGCTCACTTACATAAGCTCCGTGATGGTGTTATTTAATGATACTTAACATCTGTTGTTCGGATCGCGGAGGTATTACGGACCAAATAATGACTGCATTTGTAAATTTTAGTAATAGTGCTCATTGCTGTAGATTCCATGCCAGTCCAAGAGTCAATTCAGACCGTTAAACCAACTGGTAAATTCGACTCCAAACCTATTCATCTCTTATTATTTTGAGGCTATCCATAACATCTATGACATTATATGACCCTATATATATATGCTTCATGTGAATACCTTCTGTTTGAATATATAGAGCTATTTTTTCCAGCTAATTTGGAATATTTCCTCTGTTTTGTTTCTGTGACCACACCTAAAAACGAAATTTTATCGCGATTAAAGCCTTAATTCGGGATTTAAACCATTCACGACTCATTCTCAGAATATATCTTCCCTATTCCGTAAGTAACCTTTTTAATAGTAACGGCTAAAAAGTGCAAAAAACGCAACAGTCTCAAGAAGACTAACCGCTGTGGCTGATCTATATGACTTAACTGACAACTGATATTTTTTTCTCCAAAACGGCCGTTAATTAAAAATTCGGATATATCGAAAATGTTTTTTCAGCAAGCTTCGATGATTTTTTGAGCTATTTAAATCTAAAACATACTAAGAATCTTCCAGCTTGCTTCATGAGAATCTATCTCGGATTTTTCAAAAGTCGCACGAAAAGTGCCAACAATATAGACTATCAATTTCGCATAAAGCAAAAGCACAAAGTTTCTAATCTTGATGGAAATTGCGTCCAACATGAAGACAGTCGATAGTAGCTAATAAGAAAAACGACGCATTTTTTCCACTGTACCGAATTTATTGTTTTGTTATTAAAAGAATAGGCTTTCTAAAGAAATTTCTTCATGAAAGGCGACTTAACGCATACCCGTTACCATAAACAGCTCGCGAAACTTATCCTGATTAAATTCTATATTGATACATTTAGATGGAGCGTATTTATATGAAGCATATTTTACATAATCAGTACCATTCGTGCAAAAAACAAGCTTTTTTTGACAATTTTTCGAATGTGTTCAAGAAGTTCATTCGTATCATTCATTGCTATCGAATTGTTTCGTTATAATCATATTAGGTTTAATCCTTACTTACTGACAGCTTATTAATATATGTATTTACAATTGCCCGTATTGCTAATATTTATTTTCCTCGCGTTTATTTTACTCGAATGTATATATCCCGTATATTAAACCTGTCTTGTATATTAGGCAGCTGATGGTTTTCTTTTTTTTAAGATCGTTTCCATGCAACGCAGGTTGTCTTGCCTATAGCGACTTCCAAAAGGTAGATGTCGCAACCATATCTCCTAGGCTAGTTCGAAAGTAATAACAATGCTTCAAAATTTTCGTTTAGCCAACACAATGAAAAAATGAGTTCTCGACACCCACTAGATTTCGCGTGTCCGAGTTTAAAGTGCTGCCGAAATAGCTCGTGATGTCTATATCACGTGAACCACTGACCTTATAACTGAGCAAACTGCCTGAAGGGGTTCAGTAGAGTCAAAGATAGAGTTTCGAACTTGTATAATGTACCTCCCCAGTCAACCATATGAGGCGTTAGAGCACCCTAAATAGACTACTCTCTGTTAATTGGCCAAGAAGGCAGGTCGTAAACAATTGACTATTGTACGGCATTTTGAATGCGTGAAACAATTTCCCTTTTTCGCTACGAAAAAGGTTATTTTGTTTTTGCTCCGACTACAACTATGGTTGCTGCCGCAAGTCGGTTTCGCTTATGTTTCGTGTTAAAATATGGACATTTGTACAAAAAGTATTTTTAGAAACTCTATCTCAGACGATCTGTAACCTGAAATATGAAATCGTTCAAAATGTCTAGGTTAAATGGGGGAGATGTAGTATATAAAAGAAAAAATTGCCAGCATACGACAACTATGCCGGAGGGATCACAAAGTTAAGGTCGCCTATTTCATGGTTTCTGTGATAGTCTCCAACAAGCTTAAGAGATAAAAGCTGCTAGCGTGTGAAAGAAAGAGTTGGTTACATAAATTACAAAAAATCTTTTGCATTTTGAATGTATGGAACTCACTCAAAAACTAGGAGCGTAGACACTTATGAACGAAGTAAAGTACACAAGGAACCACGTCTTCTCAATACCTTGCAGCAAAGATAACCGATTTCTGCATAAGATAGGGGTGACAAAAAAATGGTGTTTCTAAGTTTATATGAGGTCACAAAAGGCATGGGTACAGCAGACAGAGTTAAGCCGAGTCGCCACTCCAGAAAAAAAAACGTTGTTTGCGTCTGATTGGAACGGAAGAGCCTTATACGGTAAGAAATACTACATTTTACAATTAAGTCCCAAAAATTGGTTGGCAATTTGCAGATAATATCGTGGATGACTAACCTGTGGGTTGACGAAATAAATGATGGTAATTTGTTTGTCCTTAGCTATTTGTTTGCCTATAGATATGTTTGGGTTTGTCCTTATCAAGATATAGGTTAAGCAAATAATTCAAAATGCTATTATTATGCCACTTAAACATTAATCGCTTATTTGCCAAGCAAACATTCACTATCTTACTATCACATTAGACCTGTTATCATTGTTGTATACTCAAAGGATTTTTGTATATCACTCCTGTTGTTTTCACCGTATCCATAATCATGCCATGCTGTTGCAGAAGGAAAGATAACTGGCTCCGGTTTTCCGTTCATCTTTCTCATGATGAAGACATTTCGGGTATAATAATTATTTATGGAGAGAGGGAAGCATTAACAAGTATAAGAAGACCAGGGATTCAAATAATAGTAGTAATGCGTATCTATGTATCAACTAATTTGGGCTGCTGGTCAGACCTCTTTACAGATTACCCCATTTTTTGTTGGTTGATAATCTAA